ACTACGAACCAACACAGTGTCACTCGCTCGCTCAACGCTACATTGTTTCATTAATTGTTGAACACAGCGTTACTACGTTCCAACACAGTGTCACTCACTCGCTCAGCTCACTCACTCAGTCAACGCTGCATTGTTTCGTTACTTGTTGAACACAGCGTTACAACGTTCTCAACACAGTGTCACTCCACTCACTCCAACGCTGCATTGTTTCATTACGTGTTCAACACAGTGTTACTACGTGCCCACACAGTGTCACTCACTCACTCACTCACTCAACGCTGCATTGTTTCATTGCTTGTTGAACACAGCGTTACTACGTTCCCACACAGGTGTCACTCACTCTCTCACTCCAACGCTGCATTGTTTCATTACTTGTTGAACACAGTGTTACCACGTAACAACACGGTGTCACTCACTCGGCTCACTTGACACTGCATTGTTTCACATTACTTGTTGAACACAGCGTTACTACGTACCAACACAGTGTCACTCACTCCACTCACTCACTCAACGCTGCATTGTTTCATTACTTGTTGAACACAGCGTTACTACGTACCAACACAGTGTCACTCACTCACTCAACGCTGCATTGTTTCATTACTTGTTGAACACAGCGTTACTACGTACCAACACAGTGTCACTCACTCACTCAACGCTGCATTGTTTCATTACTTGTTGAACACAGCGTTACTACGTACCAACACAGTGTCACCCACTCACTCAACGCTGCATTGTTTCATTACTTGTTGAACACACCGTTACTACGTTCCAGCACAGTGTCACTCACTCACCCAACGCTGCATTGTTCAAAGACTTATTAAACACAGTGTTTCTACGTTCCACCGCAATGTCATTCACTCACGTCTTCCGCGTTATATTACTCACTTGAAACACAGTATTAATCATTCACTTAAGACACTGTATAGATCATTGACTAAAATCACAGTATTACCTACTATCTTTAGACACAGGTTTGCTCACTTACTTAAATCAAAGCATTAATCATTCACTTAAGACACTGTATAGATCACTGACTAAAATCACAGTATTACCTACAATCTTAAGACACAGGTTTGCTCACTTACTTAAATCACAGTATTAATCATTCACTTAAGACTGTAATGATCTGTATAGATCACTGACTAAAATCACAGTATTACCTACAATCTTAAGACACAGGTTTTGCTCACTTACTTAAATCACAGTATTAATCACTTACGACACTGTATTGATCCACTTGCTTAATTTGCAGTATTAATTGCTTTCATCAATGCAGTACTCACACCATTCACATTCAGCTAACACAAAGCATTACCAGCAGACATAAAATAATCACTGATTTCAAAATCTACGCATATCCGATTTCTACAGGAATTCAGGTAGCCACGGAAAACACCAGACTGGATTAGCTTCAAACGCTTGTACTGTATTCTGAATTTAGCAACAGAATCTACATGGTGTCAAGGTCGGACGAGATAAATGCGTGCTGCGTTTCAACATGTTATTGCGCACTCACGCCGTTTTATAATCTGCATAACAGATCAAATGCGCCAAAGCTGCACGTGCTAACATGTTTGTGTTGGCACATCGCACGCTTCTCTAACCTTGAGCTTCAGCCTCGTCTGCATAAGCCGCGCCATGCTTCTCATTCTGTGGGGTCGGATTCGAAATTTACAACTATTTAGATCTGTTACAGTAATATGAGTTATATGATTGGTGTTTAGCACTAACTGTGAGTGTGACTGAAATATAAACTGTGGTTGAAACATAAACTATCTAACAATAACTGAGGTGGACGTGTCAACATTGAGACTGAAACTATGTTTATCACTACCTGTGACTGACATTGCAGTCTTGAGGTTAAACTGTAAACATGCTAACAATAACGGAGGTTGACTCACATGTAAGTCTTGAGGTTAAACTGTAAACATGTTAACAGTAACGGAGGTTGACTCACATGTAAGTCTTGAGGTTAAACTGTAAACATGTTAACAGTAACGGAGGTTGACTCACATGTAAGTCTTGAGGTTAAACTGTAAACATGTTAACAGTAACGGAGGTTGACTAACATGTCAGTCTTGAGGTTAAACTGTAAACATGTTAACAGTAACGGAGGTTGACTAACATGTCAGTCTTGAGGTTAAACTGTAAACATGCTAACAATAACGGAGGTTGACTAACACGTAAGTCTTGAGGTTAAACTGTAAACATGCTAACAGTAACGGAGGTTGACTAACATGTCAGTCTTGAGGTTAAAATGTAAACATGCTAACAGTAACGGAGGTTGACTAACATGTCAGTCTTGAGGTTAAAATGTAAACATGTTAACAGTAACGGAGGTTGACTAACATGTCAGTCTTGAGGTTAAAATGTAAACATGCTAACAGTAACGGAGGTTGACTAACATGTCAGTCTTGAGGTTAAAATGTAAACATGTTAACAGTAACGGAGGTTGACTAACATGTCAGTCTTGAGGTTAAAATGTAAACATGCTAACAATAACGGAGGTTGACTAACATGTCAGTCTTGAGGTTAAACTGTAAACATGCTAACAGTAACGGAGGTTGACTAACATGTCAGTCTTGAGGTTAAAATGTAAACATGCTAACAATAACTGAGGTTGACTAACATGTCAGTCTTGAGGGTTAAAATGTAAACATGTTAACAGTAACGGAGGTTGACTAACATGTCAATCTTCAGGTTAAAATGTAAACATGCTAACAATAACGGAGGTTGACTAACATGTCAGTCTTGAGGTTAAACTGTAAACATGCTAACAGTAACGGAGGTTGACTCACATGTCAGTCTTGAGGTTAAAAATGTAAACATGCTAACAATGACGGAGGTTGACTCACATGTCAGTCTTGAGGTTAAACTGTAAACATGCTAACAGTAACGGAGGTTGACTCACATGTCAGTCTTGAGGTTAAACTGTAAACATGCTAACAGTAACGGAGGTTGACTCACATGTCAGTCTTGAGGTTAAAATGTAAACATGCTAACAATAACGGAGGTTGACTAACATGTCAGTCTTGAGGTTAAACTGTAAACATGCTAACAGTAACGGAGGTTGACTAACATGTCAGTCTTGAGGTTAAACTGTAAACATGCTAACAGTAACGGAGGTTGACTAACATGTCAGTCTTGAGGTTAAACTGTAAACATGCTAACAATAACGGAGGTTGACTAACATGTCAGTCTTGAGGTTAAAATGTAAACATGCTAACAATAACGGAGGTTGACTAACATGTCAGTCTTGAGGTTACACTGTAAACATGCTAACAATAACGGAGGTTGACTCACATGTCAGTCTTGAGGTTAAAGTGTAATCAAGCTAACAGTAATAGAAGTTGAGAAACATGACAGTTTTGAGGTTAAAATGTAAACATGCTTACAATAAAGGGAGGTTGACTAACATGTCATTCTTGGAGGAGTAAATTGTAAACATGCTAACAGTAAGGAGGTTGAAGCACCAATGTCACCAATGTCATCAGTGTCATCAGTGTCATCAGTGCCATTAATGTCATCAGTGCTATCAGTGCTATCAGTGTCATCAGTGTCACCACTGTCATCAGAGGCATCAGTTCCACCACTGTCATCAATGTCATCAATGGCATCGGTGTCATCAATGTCATCAGTGTCATCAGTGTCATCAGTGTCATCAATGTCATCAGTGTCATCAATGTCATCAATGTAATCAGTGTCATCCGTGTCATCATAGTCATCAATGTAATCAGTGTCACCAGTGACATCAGTGTCATCAATGTCATCAGTGTCATCAATGTCATCAGTGTCATCAATGTCATCAGTGTCATCAATGTCATCAGTGTCATCCGTGTCATCAATGTCATCAGTGTCATCAATGTCATCCGTGTCATCAGTGTTGTCAGTGTCATCAATGTCATCAGTTTCATCAGTATCATCAATGTCTTCAATATCATCAATGTCATCAGTGTCATCAATGTCATCAGTGTCATCAGTGTCATCAGTGTCATCAATGCCATCAGTGTTATCCCTGTCATCCGTGTCATCATATTCATCAATGTCATCAGTGTCATCAGTGTTATCAGTGTCATCAATGTCATCAGTGTCATCAATGTCATCAGTTTCATTCGTGTCATCAATGTGATCAGTGTCATCAGTGTCATCCGTGTGGATCAGTGTCATCAATATCATGAGTGTCATCAATGTCATGAGTGTCATCAATGTCGACAGTGTCATCAGTGTCATCAATGTCATCAGTGTCACCAATGTCGTCAGTGTCATCAATGTGATCAGTGTCATCAATGTCATCAGTGTCATCAGTGTCATCCGTGTCATCCGTGTCATCAGTGTCATCAATGTCATGAGTGTCATCAATGTCATCAGCGTTACCAGTGTCACCAATGTCGTCCGTGTCATCAGTGTTGTCAGTGTCATCAATGTTATCAGTTTCATCAGTATCATCAATGTCTTCAATATCATCAATGTCATCAGTGCCATCAATATCATCAATGTCTTTAGTGTCATCAGTGTCTTCAAAGTCATCAATGTCATCCGTGTCATCAATATCATCAGTATCATCAATATCATCAGTGTCATCCGTGTCATCTATGTCATCAATGTCATCAGTGTCATCAATATCATCAATGTCATTAGTGTCATCAGTGTCATCAATGTCATCAGTGTCATCCGTGTCATCAGTGTCATCCGTGTCATCAATGTCATCCGTGTCATCAGTGTCGTGAATGTCATCAATGTCATCAGTTTCATCAGTGTCATCACTGTCATCACTGTCATCAATATCATCAGTATCATCAGTGTCATCGGTGTCATCAGTGTGATCAATGTTTCCGCTCGATGCCTGTCTATAATTATATTGTCCATAACATGGCGTGAGGTCGTTGGGACCCTTACTCTTCATAACTACGCCAATAACATATCATGGCTTCTAAATAGAACACGTGGCAGTGGTTCGGTTGTAACCATAGCAACGGTTTATCGTATTTTATCTGTTCCAGGCGGACTATGCAACGCCGCCAAAGCAAAGGAAGATGTCATATTTCTTCCCAAAACGGTCAAGCCAATCTTCTATGATCTGGAAATGAGACCAAATATGTACGAAGGCGATCCGTCGGCCTTCACTTTCGATGGCTATGTGAAGATAACCATTGAGTGTCTAAAACCGACGAATGACGTCATTCTACACGCCAACAAACTTGACATCACTTCAGGAACAGTTGAGTTCGGTGCTGAAGATAACGCTTCTGACGATGTGAAGTATATGTCACATGACCTTGATCCTGCCAATCAACTTCTGAAAATACATTTGAATAAAGAAATGGCCAAGAACAAGGTCTACTATTTGAAGATGAACTTTACTGGACCTTTGAAGAATGATCTCGTTGGGTTTTACCTCAGTTCGTACAAACGAGGAGGCGCAGCCGTGTAGGTATCCTTATACTCATTATATATGAGGTGACACGTCTCTGAGACGTTTGCTCTATATTTTCACAGTTTTAAACAAGAAACACATCAATTTTAATCTGAAATGGAGGATGAAGTTGAATCTGATCCTGTGACCTTATGTGGAATGAGAAATACTCTTGTCTAATACATGAACGTCCTATATAATAACAAATGTTTTATCGTGACATTAATGCATACAACACCTTACAACCGTCCACCGCGTTAGTTGACTCTTGTCTAATACATGAACGTCCTATACAATAACAAATGTTGTATCGTGACATTAATGCATACAACACCTTACAACCGTCCACCGCGTTAGTTGACTCTTGTCTAATACATGAACGTCCTATACAATAACAAATGTTTTATCGTGACATTAATGCATACAACACCATACAACCGTCCACCGCGTTAGTTGACTCTTGTCTAATACATGAACGTCCTATACAATAACAAATGTTTTATCGTGACATCAATGCATACAACACCTTACAACCGTCCGACGCGTTAGTTGACTGCTCAGCTCAGTTGTGTCTTTTATCTTTATTATCAAACATGGAAAACTGATTCTCCGCTATTTTTCTTCTGTAAGGATTATCTTGTTGTACGGTGCAATATGTGTTTGGTTGTTTGAGATGGAAAGATCAAAACTCATCTACTGTACACGGGTTGTTTTATATAGGTACCTAGCCTCCACCCAGTTCGAATCTACAGACGCCCGCAAAGCCTTCCCGTGTTTTGATGAACCTGAACTGAAGGCTCATTTTAACATCACCCTGGTACGGAGGCAGAATCTGACAACGATATCAAACATGAAGCTGCAGCGAACAGAGAACAGGTGATCACTGTAGAAGTCTGAACAACAGAACATAGTGAACAGTGTATACAATGATACCAACAATGTATCGATTGACACCAACAAATAGTGTATACAATGATACCCACAATGTATAGATTGACACCAACAAATAGTGTATACAATGATACCCACAATGTATCGATTGACATCAACAAATAGTGTATACCATGATACCCAAAATGTATCGATTGACATCAACAAATAGTGTATACAATGATACCCACAATGCATCGCTTGACACCAACAAATAGTGTATACAATGATACCCACAATGTATAGATCGACACCAACAAATAGTGTATACAATGATACCCACAATGCATCGCTTGACACCAACAAATCAGCCCATCTCAAACTGAAAGAAGCAACCCAGATGCAGAGTTGAGTCCCCTGGACCAACCAGTATCTAATGTCTGTGGTTTCAAATTCTGGTCTGTACCTCTTATGGTTCAAGACATGTCAGGGCTCTACCTCTGGGCTATAACAGTGGTAGATGTCAAAGATTTGCACCCCACATCAGACTCACACACGCCATGGTAAACTAGAACACTGTTGACAGCGCCGTTCATCACAACTTGCAGCATTAAAATAAAGCGTTCGGACCCCTAAGACAATTGAGTAAAACAGGGGTCATGTGTTACTAAAGGATCTGATGTCTTATCGCCTCTGCTACTCAAGGGCAATTTACTAATATTGTTTCCCTTATGAAGGGAAGCTGGCTTCGTGGCTGACATTTACCCGACAACTCCAATCATGTCGACATATCTGGTGGCCTTCGTGGTGTCCGACTTTCAGTATCTGTCCAACACAACCAGTAGAGGGCTGGAGGTGAGCGTTGTCAGGGCGTCCTGACACATCAAGGAAATATAAGAGAGGGACCTAACTACATCGGAACGAAGAGACTCGGGGAGAGGGAGAGTGCATCTATAATAGTTTCCTTACAGAGCTTTGTCTTTCAACATAGTGTAGCCCATGCCAAGGTCACGTGTACATTGCGTGACAAATTTTAGTGTCGTGCTGTAGGTGTCGCGGACACGGGGTCAGTCAGACATTCACCGAGTAAGGTAAACTGGGTCATGACAGATGCAGTATACAGACATAGGGTCAATCAGACACTCACTAAGTAGTGTCAACTGGGTCATGGAACATGGGGTATATGTACCGCATGTTTAAATGGACGCCAGATAACGCTATATACAATTAAACAGGATGCAAAACTGCAAATATGGAATATGTAGCTGGTATCAATGAAAACATTTAACTGAAAATATGCAATATGTAGCTGGTATAAATAACATCGCTTCACTGCAAATACGTAATATGTAGCTAGTATCCATTGCAATGCTTAGCTATAAGTCTGTAATGTATAGACGGCATCAACAGTAACACTTAACTGAAAGTATACAAAATGTTGCTTTTACAGATAGCAAAACCTTTCCTCAACTATCCTTGATATCAAAGCTAACTCCGTCAAGTCAGTTTTTGTTCTAACACTATGATCGCTAACTCCGTCAAGTCAGTATTTTGTTCTAACACTATGATCGTTAACTCCGTCAAGTCAGTTGTTGTTCTAACACTATGATCGTTAACTCCGTCAAGTCAGTATTTTGTTCTAACACTATGATCGTTAACTCCGTCAAGTCAGTTTTGTTCTAACACTATGATCGTTAACTCCGTCAAGTCAGTTTTTGTTCTAACACTATGATCGTTAACTCCTTCAAGTCAGCATTTGTTCTAAACACTATGATCGTTAACTCCGTCTAGTCAGTTTCTGTTCTAACACTATGATCGTTAACTCCGTCAAGTCAGCATTTGTTCTAACACTATGATCGTTAACTCCGTCTAGTCAGTTTTGTTCTAGCACTATGATCGCATTCCCAAACCAATGTTACATGAACTTCCGGGTTTCAGTACCGCATCTGGTCCCAGGAGGAATCCCTCAGCTCCCTCCAGTACGCCATGAGTGTTGGAACTAGGACCATCTCCTTCTATGAAAACTACTTCAATATATCCTTCCCTTCCAAAGCAAGGTAACTGTAGACACCCACACTGTGTATTGTGTTAGTTGTGTGACACCCACATCGTGAATTGTGTGGGTTGTGTGACACCAATATCATGTATTGTGTTGCTTGAGTGACACCAATACACAGTACTGTGTGGGTTGTGTGACACCCACACCGTGTACTGTGTTGGTTGTGTGACACCCACACCGTGTATTGTGTTGGTTGTGTGACATCCACACCGTGTATTGTGTTGGTTGTGTGACACCCACACCGTGTATTGTGTTGGTTGTGTGACACCCACACCGTGTATTGTGTTGGTTGTGTGACACCCACACCGTGTATTGTGTTGGTTGTGCGACACCCACAGTGTGTACTGTGTTGGTTGTGTGGGAATGTGTATTGAGTTGGTTGTTGTGACACCCAAACCGTGTACTGGTTGGTTGTGTGAGTTGGTTGTGTGACACCCACACCGTGTATTGTGTTGGTTGTGTGACACCCACACCGTGTATTGTGTTGGTTGTGTGACACCCACACTGTGTATTGTGTTGGTTGTGTGACACCCACACTGTGTACTGTGTTGGTTGTGTGGGAATGTGTATTGTGTTGGTTGTGTGACACCCACACCGTGTACTGAGTTGGTTGTGTGACACCCACACCGTGTATTGTGTTGGTTGTGTGACACCCATACCGTGTTGGTTACTGTGTTGGTTGTGTGGGAATGTGTATTGTGTTGGTTGTGTGACACCCACACCGTGTATTGTGTTGGTTGTGTGACACCCACACCGTGTACTGTGTTGGTTGTGTGACACCCACACCGTGTATTGTGTTGGTTGTGTGACACCCACACCGTGTATTGTGTTGGTTGTGTGACACCCACACCGTGTATTGTGTTGGTTGTGTGACACCAACACTGTGTACTGTGTTGGTTGTGTGACACCCACACCGTGTATTGTGTTGGTTGAGTGACACCCATACTGTGTACTGTTTTTGTTGTGTGACACCCACACTGTGTATTGTGTTGGTTGTGTGACACCCACACTGTGTATTGTGTTGGTTGTGTGACTTCCACACTGTGTATTGTGTTGGTTTTGTGACACCCACACTGTGTATGTAGGTTAGGACGTTATATTGACGCACATTGTACTATTGTTATTATTATTTTTTACAGATTAAAGATTGTATGCAGCAGAGAGGGTTCGGGTGATCCTGGCACAGTCAGGCTGGTAAGGCTCATCATCAGCTCAGGGCCCTTGCCCCCTCTACACGCAGCCCAGACAGCGAATGGGACTTCTCTCAGGAAACGCTGCCTAGTCGAACCCACCAAGAACTTTCCGGAGAATATGAAGGCTCCCCAACACTGCAGCCTTCTGCATTACCCAGAGTGTCAGAAGGGCTGTACTCCCGGTGGAGAACCCGGGCACTCTCCTGATCTGCGCCAAGAGATCAGGAGGTACCAAACCAAGGGCACCGAGAACAATGGGGAGCCTGGCGACAGTGTACTTGGGATGCAAGCGAGACATTTCAAAGGCGAGGTCCGCATATTTATCATGCTTTTCCTGAATCTTGCCAATCACATTGGTGTCAAAAGGGACAAAAACTTCAATGATATAAATAAATTCATTGGCTTTATCAAAAAGGACAAGATCAGGTTTGTTGGCAGGAATTCTTCTGAGACTGTATATGGGCCTATTCCACAGAAGTTTGGGTCGTACCATGGATTCAGGGTCGTACCATGGATGGAGCTCGGAGTCAAAGCCACAGGCATGGCGGAGACGGTTGTAAAAGCAACGAGCCATGCCATAATGTCGTTTAAGATATGATGTTTGTGCCAAGGAAGGGCATCCACTGACAAGGTGTTGGACAGTCTCCATGAATTCATTGCAAAGTCGACATTTCATATTAATATTTTCTTTAAGAATCACATTTAGGTGATTGCGAGTGGGAAGTGACTGGTCCTGAGCAGCAAAAAGGAAGCCCTCAGTTTCACAATTAAGACCAGCCGACTTCATCCAGGCGAAGGAGTCGGTGGGATTGCTATTCTGTTCAACACACTGCATGTACACACGATGCAATCGCTTCTCAGAAAGCTTCTCCACAAAAGACCAACTCTGGGCAGACTTGTTGAAGGACTTCACCTGGTTTACTTCCATCACTGTACTGTCCAGCAGTACATCGCCATCAACAAAATCAACCTCAAATCTCAGATTCTGTCCAACAACTTTGGCACGCTTAAAATAGCTGTAGAATTCTTTGCTTTCATCATGAGTCTTCACATGCATCACTAGAGGATCATCCGATAAATAAATATGTGCAAAAGTACACAATAAAATTCTGTCATGAAGAGCCTCCACATTAATCAAACCCCGACCTTCAAAATTGATTGGCATATATAAACGGTAAATAGAGGAACGAGGGTGGTGTGCTCTGTTATCAGACATGATCCTTCTGGTCAGGCGGTCAAGACTCTGGATATCTTGTTTTGTCCAATCATCTACTCCAAAGGAACAGGAGATGACTGGCACAGCAAAAGTATTGGTGGCTTTGACCTTGTTTCGAGCATTTAGCTCTGAGTTTCAGATTTTCTTTAAGCGAGATTTATACTCGGCCAGAAGCTTGTTTTGAATCTGGGCATTCTGGAGCTTGTCTCGAACTTGCATTCCAAGATAGGTGTAGGCCTGATCTTCCACAAGATGCTCAATAACTCCTCTCCCTTGTAACTTGACCGATCCATCATTAGTTACCTTGCCACGTTTCAAATGAAGAGTATTACATTTGTCGAGTCCAAATGTCATGTATCAGTAGAAGAGACTCGACAAAGGGGAACCTGTTCTTTCAAATTGGTCTTTTGGCAAGGATCTGATGTCATCCATGAAAGGAGATGAGTAAACGGTGTTGGGGATCTGGGATCCGGGATGGTAACCCTGCTCTCTGTTGAGCAGAAAGCTCAAAGGATTTAAAGACAAACAAAAAGCAAAGGACTAAAGGAATCCCCTGGAAAATTCCCTTCTGATTCGAATAGATTCCGAAGTTTGCACCTGCTCTTGCGAGTACATCTCAAGTTGAGTGGACCAGCAACTCATTAAAGACTTGAGTAAGTCAAGTAGTCGCTCAGGGAGGTCAATACCATGAAGAGACTTAGAATCCATTCGTGAGGGACAGAGTCATATGCTTTTTGGTAGTCAATCCAGCACATGGAGAGGTTGCGGTGATATGCTTTAGTCTCTTCCAAACTCATTTTTGTACAAGAAGTTGATCCTTGCACCCCAACATCCCTTTCTTGCTCCCTTCTGCTCTCTGTAAATGATATCATTGGAAGAGCAGTAAGATGACAAGAGGTTTGTCAAACACCCTGTGAATATTTTGTAATGTGTATTCAAACATGTGATAGGGCGGAAGATTTTGGGATCAGTCAAGTCTCCTTTCTTGGGGAGAAGTATTGTGCGACCTTTGCAGAACCATGGAGGAACATCACCTGTGTCCACAAGAGTATTGAAACAGTGTAGTAATGGTGTTTGGACACAGGGGAACAGTTTCCAATACCGGTTTGGAATGCCATCCGGCCCTGGAGCTGTATTATATTTGGACTTTTTTATAATACTTTTCAGGCAATCTGGTGAGATGTAACAGACAAACGACCTGGTTACCTTCTCATGCATTGCATGGTCATAATCACGGACCAATGGTGCCTCAAGGTTACAGTTGCCGGGTACAGACCACAACTGTTTCCAGAACCTTTCATTGGCATCCATGGAAGGCCGTTTGTCATGCTTACCATCACCCTTTGTTTTCAGTTGTCTCTAGAAGTGTTTTTCATTATTTCTAAAAAGTTAATTTTGTTTAAGGAATTTATTTTCTTTTCCCATTTTTTCTTTCAGTCCAAACTTTTATTTTGGCCTTAAAGGGAATCGACAATTTGGAGAAGTACCTTTTCTTTGTTGTCTTGTACTGCAATTTTAATTTTCTCCAAATTGTCCTTTGTCGTTTCGAAATTGGACTCCTGATGATCTTAACTTCAGGCACAGCTCTATCCAGGAAGTGTATTTTCTAGTTTCCGTTAGTTTTACTTGAAACCGGTTTTTCTTTAGTGTATTGTTCTTAGTATTAGATGTTTTTTCTTCTTCTTATTATTATTATCATTATTATTATCACGCAGACATGGTTGCGATTCCTGACTTCGGTCCCGGGGCCATGGAGAACTGGGGCTGCATCACCTACCGCGCTATCCGGCTGTTCTACACTGACGGCATCACGAGCTCCTCGGCCAAACAGTCTGTGCTGGTCGACATCACACACGAACTGGCTCATCAAGTAAATGCTTAACACGCTTTCATGTCAGAGATGGGGCATGGGTGGCTGTAATGACTGTAGAGCTGTACCCCTTAGGCTTGACTGAACCTGTGATAGTTAAGTCAAATCCCTTTTCTACCTTTTTGTCACAGTTTGCCCGTCGGTGCTAGTCCCGGTTGGTCGTGGTTGTTGTATTCGTTGTATTCGTTGTATTCGCGCATAAACTTAGGAAATTGCAAAATACAACATGAGGATTATTACGTGCCGTAACTGCACCCTCCCTTCCTTTGCCTGAGGTAGAGACAATATTTCCCCAGTCCCTTTCAATATCTTTCCTTAGACGGTAAATGACAACCACAATGATACAACGCTGGTGTTTTGTGGGTAGGGGGAGACACATACCACATGACATCAACGTAGGTTCATGCTGTCATCATATATAGCCATTTGATTTGGTCCAAGTCTTACACTATCATGCTGCTTCTTGGCGCGACAGCGTAGACAGAATCAGTCATCGGGCATTCTCTGAACATGCTGGAATCTCCATTCTACTTAACACACTTCCAGCCTCCAGCTTTATCTAGAGACAAGAGACGGTATATCAAGTTACACCATTCTACTTAACACACTTCCAGCCTCCAGCTTTATCTAGAGACAAGAGACGGTATATCAAGTTACACCATTCTACTTAACACACTTCCAGCCTCCAGCTTTATCTAGAGACAAGAGACGGTATATCAAGTTACACCATTCTGTCGTAAACAAGCCACTTAGTCTTCAGTTCTTTTGGGTGCCGTCCGAAATACAACTGTTTGTATCACAGGGACTTGCCTCCAGCCTTTACACTCAGTGATCGAGGCACAGTGTCAAGACGTGTCCATCTGACAGTTTGGATCTGTTGTTAATTACCGGGTCCTGTGCACGAGAGATTCTGTATCAAATTCGAAACATGATTGTTTCTTTGCTTGGTTGTTGTTTATTGCCGCACTCAACAATGTTCCAGCTACAAGTGCCATTAGCCATTAACAAAACAATATCTTCTCAAAGCCGACGCAAAGGCCATATTAACAGTCTTAAAATATATATTAAAAACACCCAAAGCACAAACAATATATAATGTTTTCAGACTCTCTATCTCTTTTAGGCATAATGATCTTGATACTGGCCAATAATACATCGTCTTTTTCATATTGTACTGTTGTCTATAGTGATTTATTTTTATGATAGCGTACTAGTTTTAAATCAAGAGCTGTGATACTACAATCGCCAGCTGCTGAGGAGTTGTATTTGTGCTGTCCTTTGATGACAGGATTTGATACTTTCTATATTTATTGTTTTTTTATTATTGTTGTTGATGCTTGCGATTAGGTGCCTGACTCTAAGGGTGTGGGTTCGAATCCCGGATGGGACTCAATCCCAAAATGTACTAGAATCTGTACGTTACTAGAATCTGTACGTTACTAGAATCTGTACGTTACTAAGAAAGTGTAATCCCAAACATAACATATGTTAAATTGTACTCGTCACGGTATGGCTGAAATATTGCCGATGTGACGCTAAACGTTAATTCACTCACTCACTCCAGCGAATGGGTCCAGGGTGTTGACATTAGACTTTTGACGCAATACAACAGATGATGAAGGATGCTCCTCTTGATGCTCAACAGACATCCTGTTCCTGTTGCAGTGGTTCGGCGACCTTGTCACAATGAAGTGGTGGGATGACCTCTGGCTCAATGAAGGCTTCGCCACATTTTTTGAATATTTTGGCGCTGACCACATAGAGCCTGACTGGGATATGGTGAGATAGATTCAGTCTCATTGGACAAGATCCATAATATCACATCCATAAGCAATAGGGCCACAGGGGGAATCGGTAGTACAGACTACCGGCTTCGGTTTGTCCTGATTGTATACATTACACCGAGGGGTAGACAAATGTGCATCACATGTGTTACATTACATTGTCCCTTTTATATAACTGAAGGCAGCATTAGAGGAGCCAGTGAGCGATATGCCAGGGCTGGAAGGCGTTACGCAACATGTGATTGAACTACGTCACTCTGGAACACAGAACACCAATATAATAATTGCGTGTTAATGTTCTGTTGTGAAGACAAATCCCAAACATGGAGCAAAAATGACTCCATTTTGGTATTAAGCAGGACTCGTAACCACCGTTCACAATTTCAATAGATGTCGTTATTCTGTCGAATTAAGATGTCTTGCTGACTTCTTGTCTTACAAATTCATTTCCGATATCATCAAAAGACATAAAGGGATCACACGCACAGACGTATGTTGTATATCAGCTGAAATACATGTATAAAGAAATACAAATTTCGGATTAACGTACAATGAACCCTGCTTTCTTTCAGTATAACCAGTTTGTTGCTGAGGAAATAATTCCTGTGTTTGAAACTGACGGAACAGTGACGTCACATCCTGTTTACGTGGACGTGAAGAAACCAGAGGAGGTGGAGCAGATTTTTGATGACATTTCCTACAACAAGGTGATCGGTATAAATTTGCTACACTACGTATTTGCTTGACTTCCTCAGACGGTTCATTAGTAGGCAGGACTACAGGATGCACGCGGGATGTTGTACACCACAGACAGACTCACTGGTCGCCGTATCATCGGTCTGAAATACATATCTACCTCTGTTCCACGCTGGATCATTTACATTGTGACGTCACTAACCACTTCATATGACGTCATTAGGCCACTATGCTACAGATTGTGACGTCATTAACCACTACTGTTTACGGGGATGGTTTTGTGCTCTCGCTGTATCATTGACTCTAGAGTTGACTCAGGTTGGGGAGGCAGAGAGAATCTAAGCTAAACAACGAATGAAGCATTATTAATGAATTATATTCTAACAATAAGTTTCTGTGTGATTCAGGGCGGATCAGTGTTGCGGATGCTCAAGTTCTCCATCGGTGATGAGACCTTTCAGCGTGGACTCACTGTAAGTATGTCGGCACATGGTTATGAGACCTTTGAGCATGGAATCACTGTAAATATGTCAGGACATGGTGATGAGATCTTTCAGGCTCCACACTCAGATCCATAACCCAGCACATGTAGTCTGTGACAGGCTCTACACTCAACTCCATGACCCAACGTATGTAGTCAGTGTCAGGCCTCACTCAGCTCCATAACCCAACACAAGTAGTCAGTGACAGGCTCAACACTCAGCTCCATAACCCAACACATGTAGTCAGTGTCAGGCTCCACACTGAGCTACATAACCCATCACATGTAGTCAGTGACAGGCTCCACACTCAGCTCCATAACCCAACACATGTAGTCAGTGACAGGCTCCACACTCAGATCCATAACCCAACACATGTAGTCAGTGACAGGCTCCACACTCAACTCCATGACCCAACACATGTAGTCAGTGTCAGGCTCCACACTGAGCTACATAACCCAACACATGTAGTCAGTGACAGGCTCCACACTCAGATCCATAACCCAACACATGTAGTCAGTGACAGGTTCCACACTCAACTCCATGACCCAACACATGTAGTCAGTGTCAGGCTCCACACTCAACTCTATAACCCAGCACATGTAGTCAGTGTCAGGCTCCACACTGAGCTACATAAGCCAACACACCAACACATGTGTCAGTGTCAGGCTCCACACTCAGCTACATAACCCAGCACATGTAGTCAGTGTCAGGCTCCATACTCAGCTACATAACCCAGCACATGTAGTCAGTGTCAGGGCTCCACACTGTCAGCTACATAGCTATGGCAGCACATGTAGTAGTCAGTGTCAGGCTCCACACTCAGCTCCATAACACATGTAGTCAGTGTCAGGCTCCACACTCAGCTACATAACCCAGCACATGTAGTCAGTGTCCAGGCAGCTCCACACTCCTCCATAACCCAGCACATGTAGTCAGTGTCAGGCTTCACACTCAGCTACATAACCCAGCACATGTAGTCAGTGTCAGGCTCCACACTCAGCTACATAACCCAGCACATTTAGTCAGTGTCAGGCTCCACACTCAGCTACATAACCCAACACTCAGCTACATAACCCAGCACATGTAGTCAGTGTCGGGCTCCACACTCAGCTGCATAACCCAGCACATGTAGTCAGTGTCAGGCTTCACACTCAGCTACATAACCCAGCACATGTAGTCAGTGTCAGGCTCCACACTCAGCTACCTAACCCAACACTCAGCTACATAACCCAGCACATGTAGTCAGTGTCGGGTTCCACACTCAGCTACATAACTCAACAGATGTAGTCAGTGTCAGGCTCCACACTCAGCTCCATAACCCAGCACATGTAGTCAGTGTCGGGCTCCACACTCAGCTACATAATCCAACACATGTAATCAGTGTCAGGCTCCACACTCAGATCTTCCTATATCCTCCATATCCACACAATCTTAAATGTTTCAGTAAAGGTATGTAGTGATGATGGTGTGTAGTGATGAAGGTATGTAGAGATGATGGTATGTAGTGATGATGGTATGTAGTGATGATGGTATGTAGAGATGATGGTATATAGTGATAGCGGTAGGTAGTGATGATGGTAGGTAGTGATGATGGTAGGTAGTGATGATGGTATGTAGAGATGATGGTGTGTAGCGATGATGGTATGTAGTGATGATGGTATGTAGTTATGATGGTATGCAAAGATGATGGTTTATAGTGTGGGGGTACGTAGTGATGGCGGTACGTAGTAATGATGGTATGTTGAGATCATGGTTTATAGAGATGATGGTACGTAGACATGATGGTATGTACTGATGATGGTATGCAGAGAATATGGTATGTACACATGATGGTATGTGGTAATGACGTCATGTACTGGTGTTTGTGTGTGGTGAGGGCGTCATTTATGGATGCTGCTATGTGGTGATGACGTCATGTAGTGATGCTGGTATATGGTGATGACATCATGTAGTGATGCTGGTATGTGGTGATGATGACGTCATGTAGTGATGCTGGTATATGGTGATGACATCATGTAGTGATGCTGGTGTATGATGATGACGTCATGTAGTGATGCTGGTGTATGCTGATGACGTCATGTTGTGATGCTGGTATTAAAGATGACGTCATGTACTTATTCTGGTATATGAAGATGACGTCATGTTGTGATGCTGGTATGTGGTGATAACATCATGTAGTGATGCTTGTATATGGTGATGACATCATGTAGTGATGCTGGTATGTGGTGATGACGTCATGTAGTGATGCTGGTATATGGTGATGACATCATGTAGTGATGCTGGTATGTGGTGATGACGTCATGTAGTGATGCTGGTATATGGTGATGACATCATGTAGTGATGCTGGTATATGATGATGACGTCATGTAGTGATGCTGGTGTATGATGATGACGTCATGTTGTGATGCTGGTATATGAAGATGACGTCATGTACTTATTCTGGTATATGAAGATGACGTCATGTTGTGATGCTGGTATATGAAGATGACGTCATGTACTTATTCTGGTATATGATGATGACGTCATGTAGTGATGCTGGTATATGAAGATGACTTCATGTAGTGATGCTAGTATATGAAGATGACGTCATGTAGTGATGCTGGTATGTGATGATGATGTCTTGTAGTGTTGCTGGTATATGATGATGGCGTCATTTAGTGGTGCTAGTATGTGGTCATGATGACGTCATGTAGATGTGCTAGTATGATGTGATGATGCTCTTGTAGTGATGATCATACGTGTATGTAAGAAATGCAATATTTATGGTTGTCATCACCTGATGAAGCGGCAACGATACACGCCGAAACATCGTGTCATTCACAATAAAGACGTTGGCATCCATAAAGCTTGCCTTTCTCATGTGTTTTACTTTTAAATGCCCTTCAAAGATTTGACGTACACAGTTGTGTAGACAACCGTTCCGTAGCAAAGCATTAGGATGTCTGTTGAAACATGTCAACAGAACGATAATATCAGGATCAGGTTTGGTTTGCTCAGGACTACATCATATCGAAGATTTGAATGTTCAAGTGATTCCGTGTTTTACAGAGATACCTGCGCTCCCGGGCCTACAGTAACGCTGATCACAACGACCTATGGGCTGCCTTAGAAGCGGTGAGATACTTGTCTTCAGGAAGTACATACCTGTGTTTGTGGTACATATTTTCGGTTCTACAATAGGTCCACGCGGTCATTGCAACTATCTGAGTGGACAGATGATTCTGCACACGTCACGGACGTGTTCTTACTTGGCTTCCGCACCAAATGAATAAAACCCGCAGGCGTTTTATCAGCTACCGTTCCTAAATCGCTGTGAACAAAATATGCTTAGAATAAAGTTTTTTATTAGCAAGCTAAAGAGGACAAAAAGGACGTCCCTGTCGCCGACACGATGAAGACGTGGACGCTGCAGATGAACTATCCAGTTGTCACGGTGTCCAGGGCGGGGAGCAACAAGCTGAAGCTGCAACAGAAGAGGTTCCTCTTGGACCCGTCAGCAGCGGACCCCGGGACCTACACATCACCCTACGAGTAAGTTCATAAATTATATGCATTCAACAACATAAGTTTGAACGATCTTTCGTTTCGTTCATGTTCATGATAACGGGTGTGAGGTGAGGGTGTATATAATGTTAGTACATTAAAAGAGACTCCACTGTGTTTCAGATACAAGTGGAACATTCCGTTCACGTTCACAACCAGCTCCCACAAGAACTTCAGTGTAACTGACGCAGACATCGTGTGGGTGATGCGAGATGCTGGATCAGGTGCGCGCTGTCCGCATACCCATGTTTGGTGTAGGCCGTAGTCACGTGCATCCCTGCTAAACAAGGGGGAGTAAGAGGGAGGGGTCATCATGTAACGTATCACTGGGGAACACTCTTCACCGGTTTATTAACACTGTAAATACATGCTGACTTATTTGGTTTTAGATCTTGACTGCATAACCCTCTGGTATTCTGTACACAGTTTTGTTTGTCATTGTTCATTTGTCAAATTGTTACGTACAATCACATGTATATTTTCCAGATGTGTATTCTACCAATGTAAACATACCGGATACAAGTGATGGCACGAGTTGGATTGTGGGTAATGTCCAACATCACGGCTTCTACCGCGTCAACTACGATGTGGACAACTGGAACAATATTATCAGGCAGCTCAAAATGGACCATGACGTAAGACGTTTTACCAGTGTAGTAAGGGGTGATCGGGATAAAGCCAACGCATAACGATAACCGTTTGGGTCATACGAGGGCAATTATACAAAGAGAAACGGCCAGTGTTTAAAGTGTACGTGGCGTCGTCCTTGTCCATGACTGTGTGTACGTGGACTCCTTGCCAGGCTATCATTCCGTACAACTTTACATATCTCTAGAGGCTATCATTCCGTACAACTTTACATATCTCTACAGGCTATCATTCCGTACAACTCTACATATCTCTACAGGCTATCATTCAGTACAACTTTACATATATCTACAGGCTATCATTCCGTACAACTTTACATATCTCTACAGGCTATCATTCAATCAACCTTTACATATCTCTACAGGCTATCATTCCGTACAAATTTACATATCTCTACAGGCTATCATTCAATCAACCTTTACATGTCTCTACAGGCTATCATTCAATCAACCTTTACATGTCTCTACAGGCTATCATTCAATCAACCTTCACATATCTCTACATGCTATCATTCCGTACAACTTTACATATCTCTACAGGCTATCATTCAATCAACCTTTACACGTCTCTACAGGCTATCATTCAATCAACCGTTACATGTCTCTACAGGCTATCATTCAATCAACCTTTACATATCTCTACAGGCTATCATTCTGTACAATTTTACAAATCGCTACAGGCTATCATTCCGTACAACTTTACATATCTCTACAGGCTATCATTCAATCAACCTTTACATCTCTCTACAGGCTATCATTCCGTACAATTTTACATATCTCTACAGGCTATCATTCCGTACAACTTTACATATCTCTACAGGCTATCATTCAATCAACCTTTACATATCTCTACAGGCTATCATTCCGTACAATTTTACATATCTCTACAGGCTATCATTCCGTACAACTTTACATATCTCTACAGGCTATCATTCAATCAACCTTTACATATCTCTACAGGCTATCATTCCGTACCACTTTACATATCTCTACAGGCTATCATTCCGTACAACTCTACATATCTCTACAGGCTATCATTCCGTACAGCTTTACATATCTCTACAGGCTATCATTCCGTACAACTTTACATATCTCTACAGGCTATCATTCAATCAACATTTACATATCTCTACATGCTGTCATTCCGTACAACTTGAAATATCTCTACATGCTATCATTCCGTACAACTTGAAATATCTCTACAGGCTATCATTCTGTACAACTTTACATGTCTCTACAGGTTATCATTCCGTACCACTTTACATATCTCTACAGGCTATCATTCCGTACCACTTTACATATCTCTACAGGCTATCATTCCGTACAACTTTACATATCTCCACAGGCTATCATTCCGTACAACTTTACATATCTCTACAGGCTATCATTCCGTACAACTTTACATATCTCCACAGGCTATCATTTCGTCAAAGTTTACATATCCCACAGGCTATAATTCCGTCATCTTTTACCTATCTCCACAGGCTATCATTCCGATCAACCGAGCTCAGATAATAAACGACGCTGCCGATCTGGCAAGGTAAGTCTGACTTTCCTTGAGATGTCAGTAAGGTGAGCGGGGTATCACTGATGTCTGATAGCTGCAAGCAGATATGGAACAGATTCTAAACAACAAAAACACATCAAGGAAAAACAACAAATGATGTTTACATACCGCCCTACAAGCTGTTCCTATATTGACGATATAGACAGGTAACCTATATAAGAATGACGTTTACATACCGCCCTACAAGCAGTCCCTATATTGACGATATAGACAGGTAACCTATATAAGAATGATGTTTACATACCGCCCTACAAGCAGTCCCTATATTGACGATATAGACAGGTAACCTATATAAGAATGATGTTTACATACCGCCCTACAAGCTGTTCCTATATTGACGATATAGACAGGTAACCTACATAAGAATGATGTTTACATACCGTCCTACAAGAAGTCCCTATAGACGATGTAGACAGGTAACCTATATAAGAATGATGTTTACATACCGCCCTACAAGCAGTCCCTATATTGACGTTATAGAGAGGTAACCTACATAAGAATTATGTTTACATACCACCCTACAAGCAGTCCTTATTGACGATATAGACAGGTAACCTATATAAGAATGATGTTTACATACCGCCCTGTAAGCAGTCCCTATGGACGATGTAGACAGGTAACCTATGTAAGAATGATATTTACATACCGCCCTACAAGCAGTCCCTATGGACAGTATAGACAGGTAACCTATATAAGAATGATGTTTACATACCGCCCTACAAGCAGTCCCTATATTGACGACATGGACAGTTAACTTATATAAGAATGATGTTTACATACCGCCCTACAAGCAGTCCCTATTAACGATATAGACAGGTAACCTATATAAGAATGATGTTTACTTACCGCCATTCAAGCAGACCCCATTGACGATATAGACAGGTAACCTATATAAGAATGATGTTTACATACCGCCCTACAAGCAGTCCCCATTGACGATATAGACAGGTGACCTATATACGAATGATGTTTACATACCGCCCTACAAGCAGTCCCTATCGGCGATATAGACAGGTAACCTATATAAGAATGATGTTTACATACCGCCCTACAAGCAGTCCCTATTGACGATATAGACAGGTAACCTATATAAGAATGATGTTTACATACCGCCCTACAAGCAGTCCCCATTGACGATATAGACAGGTAACCTATATAAGAATGATGTTTACATACCGCCCTACAAGCAGTCCCCATTGACGATATAGACAGGTAACCTATATAAGAATGATGTTTACATACCGCCCTACAAGCAGTCCCTATATCGGCGATATAGACAGGTAACCTATATAAGAATGATGTTTACATACCGCCCTACAAGCAGTCCCTATTGACGATATAGACAGGTAACCTATATAAGAATGATGTCCGTCATCAAACCAACCCAGTCCTTTACCATCCTCAGATCAGGACTGCTGGAGCAGCGTGTTGCTCTGGGGACGTTGGAGTACCTCGGGTCGGAGGTGAACTATTACCCTTGGACCATCGCCCTGACCAAACTGGACTACATAGACTTGATGTTAAGGGACACGGAGATATACGGCGCTTTCCAGGTGCGTATGGGAAGCATGGTCAATGGTTTCCTTTTAACGATACGAAATATATTTATAGCGAGACTAGATATTTTATGTCAGATTCATAGACATTCCGGGATAGTATGTTTTGGTTCGGTGGGCCAATCTGTAAATCAATAAACTCTCGAAGAAACTATACAATATCCTGATGTAACGTGATTCAATTCCTGATTATATGCACTGTATGAATCTGAAATATTTAAATGTGATGCCGTGTTGAGTGGGCGTTTTCAGACATTGGTTTTCTTACCTGAGCCCAGCTGAATGTTGATTGCTGCCGTGTCAAAACTGTGCAACCAAGGAAACCTCCTGCTGAATATGGTTAACACATCTGTTGGAATCAATCTCACATGTATAGGACACACATGTAATGAACACAACCCGCGCACAGAACAACACACACTGCAAAACAACACACCAACAGCACAACACACCTACAGAACAGCACACGTACAGAACAACAAACCCGCTCTGACCAACACACCTATACTATTAGCTACGCGGTGTTTTGAAAGGGTGTATGGGAAGGTCGAAGGAAATACAGAATTTAAAAGAGTCTTACAGTCCCCTACACCTTTCAAAACACCGTGTGATGAATTTATTACCCTTAAGATATTTTTATTTAGCTTATCTTTAAACAACAACATTCAATCGTGGGCAGAATGAGACGTAAAACATTTCGCCATGATTTTTCCTGAGCGGTCATAAAAGGAGATTAAGCATGATCGAATTTGAGGTTTTGTTAAACAAGTGACTTTTTATTTTTTGGATAGATTTAGTGACACAAACAACAACTATTACTCTGTTTATACTCATAATTGTTCCCGCCAACTCTAAAATTATGGTTCGTATACCCTGGCCAATCCGCCTAAAAGGTTTCGTATGCTCTGCATATTAACCGATCATAATTCGACAAATGTATCTTAAGGGTAATAGTGGATAACACACGAACACAAACACTTGGACAGAATGAATTCACTGAAAACTAAACACACGTGCAAGACGTGGAAAGATCATGACCTGTGTAAGAGGCGTAAGTGAAGGAACTCATCAGTGAAGGACAATTGAAGGAACTCATCTGTGAAGGACAAGTGAAGGAACTCATCAGTGAAGTACAATTGAAGGAACTCATCAGTGAAGTACAATTGAAGGAACTCATCTGTGAAGGACAATTGAAGGAACTCATCTGTGAAGGACAAGTGAAGGAACTCATCAGTGAAGGACAATTGAAGGAACTCATCTGTGAAGTACAAGTGAAGGAACTCATCTGTGAAGGACAAGTGAAGGAACTCATCAGTGAAGTACAATTGAAGGAACTCATCAGTGAAGGACAATTGAAGGAACTCATCAGTGAAGGACAATTGAAGGAACTCATCAGTGAAGGACAATTGAAGGAACTCATCTGTGAAGTACAATTGAAGGAACTCATCAGTGAAGGGAACTCATCAGTGAAGTACAATTGAAGGAACTCATCAGTGAAGGACAATTGAAGGAACTCATCTGTGAAGGACAAGTGAAGGAACTCATCAGTGAAGGACAAGTGAAGGAACATCAGTGAAGTACAAGTGAAGGAACTCATCTGTGAAGTACAATTGAAGGAACTCATCAGTGAAGTACAATTGAAGGAACTCATCTGTGAAGTACAATTGAAGGAACTCATCAGTGAAGTACAATTGAAGGAACTCATCTGTGAAGTACAAGTGAAGGAACTCATCTGTGAAGTACAATTGAAGGAACTCATCAGTGAAGTACAATTGAAGGAACTCATCTGTGAAGTACAAGTGAAGGAACTCATCAGTGAAGTACAAGTGAAGGAACTCATCAGTGAAGTACAATTGAAGGAACTCATCTGTGAAATACAATTGAAGGAACTCATCAGTGAAGGACAATTGAAGGAACTCATCAGTGAAGTACAATTGAAGGAACTCATCAGTGAAGTACAATTGAAGGAACTCATCAGTGAAGTACAATTGAAGGAACTCATCAGTGAAGTACAATTGAAGGAACTCATCAGTGAAGTACAATTGAAGGAACTCATCAGTGAAGTACAATTGAAGGAACTCATCAGTGAAGTACAATTGAAGGAACTCATCAGTGAAGTACAAGAAGGAACTCATCAGTGAAGTACAATTGAAGGAACTCATCAGTGAAGTACAATTGAAGGAACTCATCAGTGAAGTACAATTGAAGGAACTCATCAGTGAAGGACAATTGAAGGAACTCATCAGTGAAGTACAATTGAAGGAACTCATCTGTGAAGGACAATTGAAGGAACTCATCAGTGAAGGACAATTGAAGGAACTCATCTGTGAAGGACAATTGAAGGAACTCATCTGTGAAGGACAAGTGAAGGAACTCATCAGAGAAGGACAATTGAAGGAACTCATCAGTGAAGGACAAGTGAAGGAACTCATCAGTGAAGGACATGAAGTAGTTCATCAATGAAGGCCACCGATGCTTAACACTAAGCCGATGCTCGCCAAATTGTAGGCGTTATGGAGACATTTGATTGTGTGCCCATAGTTACATGTGGCATATAGTTATTCCCGGTGTTGTAGTGGCTCTTGTAGCAGGCAACTGATAATGACCAAGTTCTGTCACTTGTGACTTTAGGTCTGCCAGCCTTCGGGTACCAGTAATGCCAACAGCTGTTACGCATGCATAATTATGTTGTTGCTGTTGAGTTAACTACAAAAATATATCAAATATCTTTTCATCAATCGTTCATTTTAATGATGACATTTCTCACCCAATACTTGTACCTCTGAGGTGTAGATACGTTGAGATGACCCAGCTGTTGTTTACCGTTGTTGTTTTTTGCGCTAGGATTTCCTGAGAACGAGCAGCTCCACGGCCTTCAAACACTACGGCTTTGAGGACTCCGGTCCCAGCCACATAGAATCGTAAGGAACCATCACTGTAACCCTGATATCATCCCCGTATCACTGTTATCATTCCTGTTATCATTGCTATTATCATCTCTGTTGGGGTTGGGATGGGGTGTGTGTGTGTAGCGTAGTGGTTAAAGCGTTGGCTCGACACGCCGTAGGCCCGGGTTCGAATCCCCACATGGGTACAATGTGTGAAGCCCATTTCTGGTGTCCCCCGCCGCGATGTTGCTGGAATATTGGTAACAGCGGCGTAAAACCAAACTCAGTCAGTCAGGCACTCTCTCCTTGGTGTGATTTCTGTATCAGTGCGATCATCACTGTCACCATCACTGTCATCATCACTGTTGTCGTCATCACTGCTATCGTCATCATTGTCAGGTATCATCGCTGTTATCATCACAGCGTCTCTGGTATCATCGCTGTTATCACCACATCGTCACTGGTATCATCGCTGTTATCACCACAGCGTCACTGGTATCATCGCTGTTAACACCACAGCGTCACTGGTATCATCGCTGTTATCACCACAGCGTCACTGGTATCATCGCTGTTATCACCACAGCGTCACTGGTATCATCGCTGTTATCACCACAGCGTTACTGGTATCATCGCTGTTATCACCACAGCGTCACTGGTATCATCGCTGTTATCACCACAGCGTTACTGTATCATCGCTGTTATCACCACAGCGTCACTGGTATCATCGCTGTTATCACCATAGCGTCACTGGTATCATCGCTGTTATCAACGCTGTACCACTGTCATCATCACTGTATTAATGATAAACATAAGGTTATCGTACAGTAGGAATCAGTGCTGAAAGCGTGTTTCTTCCAATCAGGAAAATAGGTACCATCTTATTTACATCATGACTAGTTGAACCAGCGTAACTGGATTGTTTTGCCGTGGTAGGTATGCCCGAAAGATGGTCGTCAGTGCAGCGTGCTCATCCCAAAACCCAACGTGCCGACAACGAGCTAAGGAAATATTTCAAGCATGGAAGCAAAATCCACGAGCTAATAGGTACGTATCTTGTTACTGCTGCTGTGATGGCCAAGTCACGGGAGGATTTCAGTGGCAGGTAACGGTATTCCTTCTGTTTCTTGCAAGTCTCCAGGTTAGATTGGTGGAATGACCATGGGTGGAATGGTGGGTGGGTAGATGCTGGGATGATGGAATGGATGGATGGAGGATGGACTGATATGTGGATGGGGGTTTCGTGGATAGTTTGATGGATGGATGGAGGAAATGGTGGTGGAGTGATGGGAAGATGGGCTTGTGGATGGTTCGTGGTGGGCTTGTGGATGGTTCATGGTGGGCTTGTGGATGGTTCATGGTGGGCGACAATTAAGCGTGTGGATGGAAGGACAGATAGATGCATGAAACTGCAATGTTAATGTCAGATGGCGGGCGGACGGTGGGATGGATACATGGATGGATGGAGTGAGTGAGTAAGTTTAGTTTTACCGCGCACTCAGCAATATTCCAGCTATACGGTGTCGGTCTGTAAATAATCGAGTCTGGACCAGACAATCCAGTGATCAACAGCATGAGCATCGATCTGCGCAATTTGGAACCGATGACATGTTTCAACCAAGTCAGCGAGCCTGACCACCCGATCCCGTTAGTCACCTCTCACGACAAGCATAGTCGCTTTTTGTGGCAAGCATGGGTTGCTGAAGACCTGGATGAATGGATGGATGAATGAATGAATGGATGGATGGGTGGATGGATGGATGGATGGATGGATGGATGGATGGATGGATGGATGGATGGATGGATGGATGGACTGGAGTGTGGACGTGTGGACTGACAGACGGACAGCAAAGCCTGAGCTCAGCCATTTGATCCCTGACGTCTAAGGTGGTAGAGGTGCAGGTGTTGAATGGGTTGACAAAGCTGCGCAATTTGCAGAGAAGAGCACACAATTAAAAAAAAGCGGGGAAGGCTGGTCGTTTACTCAGGAAACTGATTAGTGAGAACATATCTGACACAAGCCTCGCTAGCCTTTATCTGGTAGTATCATCAGTGCTGCACCAGTCGTCTTAGATACCGTGCTGTATTCATACCACACACGTCCATACGTCCATGACACAGTGTATTCTCATTCCAGAATCAAACCCGACCTGTTGAGGACAGTCCTCTGCATTGGCGTGTCTGACGGTACTGCCGATGACTGGGACGTCCTCTACAGCAGATACCAGACAGAGACGTCGCTGTCAGTCAAGGACGACATGCTGATGGCGCTGTCGTGTTCTAGAGAGCCCTGGGTCATTGACACGTGAGTCCTCAAAGTGTGACGAATCCGTTGGAAATTTTCCAGATCCTATTTATTCATTAGAACATTCCAGAAGTACATGGCACTGGATCATTCAGCTGTATCTGTGTCCAGGTGGCTAAAACATTCAGCTCTGTCTGTGTCCAGGTGACTAAAACATTCAGCTCTGTCTGTGTCCAGGTGACTAAAACATTCAGCTCTGTCTGTGTCCAGGTGACTAAAACATTCAGCTCTGTCTGTGTCCAGGTGACTCAAACATTCAGCTCTGTCTGTGTCCATGTCATTAAAAGATTCTACCAGGTCCATGCCACGCTAACTATCATGGAAAAACCAAAACAAATCCAACAACCCACTCTACAGCAGGAACATGGTATTGCTTAACACAAGCAGGGACATTAAATGAAATCATTTACCATTGTGTCATCATTACCCATATGGTGAAACCAGCGTCATATATGTATCATATGGGCACATGTTCACATATCACCTTTGCTTAGCAGACGTAGTTTCTGTATTTCTTCGTTTGTGACGTCATTAAACAATTGAATGTGACGTCAGTGAAGAGGGCCGTCACATCTGCTTACCGTGTCTTACGGCACAAATGTACATGTATAAAATGGATAATAAATAAATACTCGCAAGTGTGCCATACGACTTACACGAAACTCCCTCTCGCTCGGGCAATACAAAATTCCACAGTCGTTTCGTGTAAGTCGTGTGACACACTTGCTCGTGTAATATTCTGTATTTATTAGTCTCTCTGCATTAGATATGAACAATTTGGACTGTAATCGCAGTTTCTGTAAGATATGAGAGCTATATCATCATCATCATCATCACCATCACCATCATCATCATCATCAAAATCTGCATTCGTATGAAGGTCACAGGCCCATATACATATTTATGTATGCATATTCCAAACAGGTCTATATACGGATTGTATAAGTCAAAATGGAAGACAGAAATCCCTCTGGCCCAAGAAGGCTGTTATATTCTGCATATAACTTGTACCGTAAAACTTTTTTCAGGAGTAGATGTCCAATTTTGGTCAATAATGCTGATTAAGCATTCTTTAAAAATGTGAAAGCCAAGCAATTCCAAAACAGTGTGAGCAAAGTGACGGGTATGAGACGCCCATGTGTGCTACCCAGCCGTGTCTAGGTAATGCAACACATGCTATATGCCTTTCTCGGAATTAATCCATGCAGGTCGTTTATTTGTCGACCGACATTTAAGAATATTTTCCGTTACGTGCTAGTAACTGAATTTCATTGTTTTTCACTGCTATCGACTCTTTTAAAACACAAGTGCGTATTTTCCTGAGTGAGCTGAGCAAAGGTGCCCCTTGGGAATCACAGGGATTATTGACATCATCATTTTCTGTGCACAGGAACTATACTTGCTTTACTCCACATTTGTGGAAGACAACAAGTCAAATATGTTTGAGTAAATATCGACATAAAAAAGAGCATTATTTTAGATTTACTCATTTGAATCTTTTATATAAGGACGTTATCAATACCAGTCCCCATATGCCGTGTATTCACGTGATTTTCTTCTTCCGTTATAATGTATTCAGTTATCAACTTCACTCATTTCCACAGATTGGTCTACATTGAGTAGTACAACTGGTTCAGTTATATCTCTCCTATTGAAAAGTTCATAAAAATGATCGTATCATCTTTCTTTCTTTATATAATTCGTATATGATTTTCGCTTTGAAGTTCCTCTCACCTCCCTCCAAAATACAGAGGATTTGTCATTAGAGGCGATGTACAACACGGGGTGGTCAGACTGGCTGACTTGGTTTGCACATTTCATACTACCTCATTTGTGTTGATCGATTCTTAAGCTGTCGATCACTGGATTGTCTGGTCGATTTTAAACATACAGTCCCCACAAAGATGGAATATCACAAGACCCGTAAAGGTCCGGGTTAGAATGTGCCTTCAGTGACCCATGCTTGTCGTACGAGGCGACTAACGGGATCGGGTCAGGCTCGGTGACTTGGTTGACACATGTCATCGGTTCCCAATTGCGCAGATCGATACTCATGCTGTTGATCACTGGGTAGTCTGGTCCAGACTCGATTATTTACAGACTGGATATAGCTGAAATATTGCTGAGTGCAGTGTAAAACTGAACTCACCCACTCACTCCTGGAATATTACAAAGTCCGCTTTCTAAAAACAAGCAAACAAATTTAAACAGATGGACTGCGAATCCTGTCTGTTTTTGTGATGGCTAGCACATTCTGTTCAGTACTCGTTCCAGGACGCCGGTTTTTAACGTCAACTTCTCCGTTTCAAAAAGGTATCTTCGAAGAACCATCACGGCAGGCGAGATTCCAAAGGATGATACGACTCGGGTGTTATATTTCGCCCCTAGACTCAACGGCAAAACACAACCATTCGTGTGGGACTTTCTCAAGCAACATTACAGTCTGCTGAGGGACGAGTGAGTGCTTGTGAAGTGCATGAACATTTTATATAAGGAGGGCGTGGCTGAATGGGGCAGCAGACGGCCTTTGGTCACTCACTGGTCTAATGTGAGGGACATCTGTCTCTGTCGGAGAATCAATGGGCAAAGCGTCGGACGAGATAGACCCATGTCAAGTGTAATACGCTGTTGGCTACAAAGGAATAATTTACATTCAGTTCTACCCTATAGTAAAACTGGTATATTTTTATCGCTATATGAATATTGCTAAAAGCTGCGTAAATCTAAGCTCACTATATAGCCAAATCAAGACACAGTGTTTATGTAATGATGCTTATGAGTCTTCGCCCATGAAATAGTGTCCCCTGTCACGATACTGCTTCAGAACTCACTGTCTCTTGAAGCAATATCGTGACAGGGGACACTATGGTGTGGGCGAAGACTCCTTACAGCGCCGTACAATTACACTCACTCTTGCCCCTTCAGCTACAGCGCCAGTTTCTACTACTTCGCCAAGATGATTCTTAGTGCAACAGGTACATTCAACACGGAGTTCCACCTGAAACAGGTAAGACGTGACACGTGAACGGGACCCACATTCTAAATGTCATGTTGGTTTGATGTAGGTGAAATAACATCGCTTTGCTTTGCCCTGTTCTCACAGCTGGAGACCTTCGTCAATTCTACAGATGACCTTGGCATTGGCTCAGCGGCCTTCTCGCAGGCGATAAGTCAGACCAAGGCCAACATAAAATGGATGGATGAGAATTATCCAGTCATCAAACAATGGCTGATGGAGCTGGGATATTACAGTACGTACAGTGAAACCTTGTCTGTACGAAATTACAGTGAACCCTTGTCTGCACGAAATTGTAGTGAAACCTTGTCTGTACGAAATTGTAGTGAAACCTTGTCTGTACGAAATTGTAGTGAAACCTTGTCTGTACGAAATTGTAGTGGAACCTTGTCTATACGACCCCTTCTGTGATGTAATTAGAGTGAAACCTTGTCTGTAAGAAATGACAGTGAAACCTTGTCTTGCTAGTATGGAAACCTCAGGTTATATAGCGGTGACAACTTGAAGTAGGGTCTCACAGTTGATAGCTGAAATTAGTGTGAAATCTCACCTGCGCAGCGGTTATTGTAGCAAAGACAGTGTGTTACCACTACTCTACTAGTACGTACATTACAGTGTTAACACTACTCAGCTAGTAAGTACATTCCAGTGATAACACTGCTCGACTAGTAAGTTCATTCCAGTGTTAACACTACTCAGCTAGTAAGTACATTCCAGTGTTAACACTACTCAGCTAGTAAGTACATTCCAGTGATAACACTACTCTACTAGTAAGTGCATTTCAGTGATAACACTACTCTCCTAGTAAGTACATTCCAGTGATAACACTACTCTACTAGTAAGTGCATTCTAGTGATATCACTACTCTACTAGTAAGTACATTCAAGTGATAACACTACTCTACTAGTAAGTGCATTCCAGTGATAACATTACAGTGATAGTACTACTATTCTGGGCCAATATTCTGGTAGCTTTTTTAGCGCTAAAATAATCGTAAGTTAATATTAATGTATGGCACTTTCGACTATCTAAGCGCTAAGAGAGCTTCAAAAATATAAGCCTTGGTAAGTAATTTGTGGGCAATCCCCAGATTGCTAATGAACAAATTATTGACATTAGACATTTACTTCAAGTGTCAAGTAGCTGTTTTGAATAATGGTAACGGCGTATATTGCCAGTTTGCTTTATCAGTCTTGAGGACTCAGGAAATCTTGTTCCGACTGACAGCTGACTTAACTTAAGGAAGCAGCCCCAAGTTCAACTTAACAATGTTAATTGTACACTTATGAACTACGTGTTTATTACCGATCTCTCCATGCTCCGTATGTTCAACAGAGGACCACAACCAGAAGGAACCTTCAACCTCAGAAGACATTTTCCTTCCTAAAGACGTCAAGCCTATCTCTTACGACCTGGAAATGAAGCCTAACATGTACGAGGGTGATCCAGCCAGCTTCACATTCGAAGGTTCTGTTACCATACACATCCAGTGTCTGCAGCCCACAAGGGACGTCACTCTTCACATCAACAAACTCAACATCACTTCCGGTTCTATTGAAGTCGGACCAGACCGTGCCGGGGTAGCTGCATTCAGATACGTGTCTCACGAGGAAAACCACGTGAGCCAGTTCTTGACGATCCATGTGAATGAAGACCTGAAGAAAGACGGCTTGTATTATCTCAAGATGAACTTCACGGGGCCTCTTCGAGATGATCTTGCTGGGTTCTATCTCAGTTCCTACAAAACCGGAAACACTACTGTGTAAGTGACGTTATGTCGCTTTGGATTTAATAACCTTTGTTCAGCATCGTGTTGGTACATGCCTCGCGTAAGCCTCGTGTTTGTCTTTGAACTTTATCTCACGCCCATGTCAGAATATTAACTTCATATTGGATTATGCGATCTTGATACAATAACACACATATACTTTAGCGGGAGTATAAATCCTTTAATCCCACGAAAACAACGATAGATTTCCGAGCGGGACACTAAATCCCTTACACTCCGGTTCGAAGCTGGAGGCTGTTTACCAGTCATTGAAAGCTACTTGGCCAAATGCAAGTTACAACCAGCTGAATAAATGTCCCTTCACCGACAAGTTAACATCAGCTGAATGAAAGTCACGTGGCCCAATACAAGGTAATATCAACCAATGAAATCACTTGACCCAATACAAGTTAACATCAACCAATAAAAGTCATGTGACTCAATTCAAGGTAACATCTGCTCAATGAAAATCACTTGACCAAACAACATCAACCAATGAAAGTTACTTGATCCATTACAAAATAACTTTAGCTCAATGAAAGTCACTTGACTCAATACACGTTAACATCAACCAATGAAAGTTACTTGACCTAATACAAGTTAACACCAGCCAGTGAAAGTCACCTGACCCATTACAAGTTAATATCAGCTGAATGAAAGACATTGACCCAATACAAGCTAAAGTCGGTCAATGAAAGGAACTTGAACCAATACAAGTTAACATCAACCAATGAAAGTCACTTCTCTTGATACAAGTTAACATCAGCTGAATTAAAGTCGCTAGGCCCAATACAAGTTAACATCAGCTCAATGCTGTCCTGAATCTTTAAACCAATATGGCTACGGGTTAGCATTTCAGTTTCAAACCAATTCCCTGCGACGTCATACACGACGAAGTGGTATCTATTTTCCCACCTGTATGTCTTCTTTTTTCCATCTAGGATATACCTTCTAGGATATACCTTCTAGGATATACCTTCTAGGATATACCATCTAGGATATACCTTCTAGGATATACCATCTCGGATATACCATCTAGGATATACCATCTAGGATATACCTTCTAGGATATACCATCTAGGATATACCTTCTAGGATATACCTTCTAGGATATACCTTCTAGGATATACCATCTAGGATATACCATCTAGGATATACCTTCTAGGATATACCTTCTAGGATATACCATCTAGGATATACCATCTAGGATATACCATCTAGGATATACCTTCTAGGATATACCATCTAGGATATACTTTCTAGGATATACCTTCAGCTGTCGTGAAGTTGTCTGAGGGTGTGAATGTGTAATGCCTGCTGACTGTGAGTTTTTGCTCCCCACAGTTATCTGGCGACAACGCAGTTCGAGTCAACTGATGCCCGGAAGGCATTCCCTTGCTTTGATGAACCGGCCCTGAAGGCGAGGTTTAACATAGTACTTGTGAGGAAGAGGGACTTTAAATCTACGTCGAACATGCCGATTAATCGAACAGAAATCAGGTACAGGAATGTCTAACTCGTTTACAGGTGTGTGTAGGCTTTACATTAGGGTTGACACATGACTAGTGAAGAATGGACGATATAGGCGATCAGGCGATATAGACTTATAGACGATAATTGTATGGCTATAAAACCTCTTTATTATGTGAAAGGCGACGTTTCGACATAGATTCTAATGTCGTTGTCAGCCATCACTTGCCCGAATCTATGTCAAAACGTTCCCATTCACAGAATAATGAAGTTGTATATCCATTAAATTATCATCATCCTTCATCACCATACGTTCTAACATGCCCATCAAAGATCACATGACTAATGTACATACCTTCGAAAGTGGACATCTGGCCAGGGTTTATATGTGACGGCACTTGCAAACGTAAACATGTGACCAGGGTTTACATGCGATGACACTTATAGACATCAACACGTAACCAGGGTTTATATGTGATGACACTTACAGACGTCAGTACGTGACCAGGGTTTATCTGTGATGACACTTATAGACGTAAACACGTAACCTGGGTTTACCTGTGATGCCACTTATAGACGTCCACACGTAACCAGGGTTTATCTGTGATGACACTTATAGACGTAAACACGTTACCAGGGTTTACCTGCGATGACACTTACAGACGTCAGTACGTGACCAGGGTTTATCTGTGATGACACTTATAGACGTAAACACGTAACCTGGGTTTATCTGTGATGACACTTATAGACGTCAACACGTAACCTGGGTTTATCTCTGATGACACTTATAGACGTCAACACGTGGCCAAGGTTTACCTGCGATGACATTTAAAGACGTCAACACGTAACCTGGGTTTATCTCTGATGACACTTATAGACGTCAACACGTGGCCAAGGTTTACTTGCAATGACACTTACAGACGTAAACACGTAACCTGGGTTTATCTGTGATGACACTTATAGACGTCAACACGTGGCAAGGGTTTACCTGCGATGACACTTACAGACGTCCACATGTAACCAGAGTTTATCTGTGATGACACTTAGAGAGGTAAACACGTAACCAGGGTTTATCTGTGATGACACTTATAGACGTCAAGACGTGGCCAATGTTTACCTGCGATGACACTTACAGACGTCCACACGTGGCCTGGGTTTACCTGTGATGACACTTATAGACGTCAACAAGTGGCCAGGGTTTACCTGCAATGACACTTATAGACGTCAACACGTGGTCAGGGTTTACCTACGATGACACTTATAGACGTCAACACGTGGCCAATGTTTACCTGCGATGACAATTACAGACGTCCACACGTAACCAGAGTTTATCTGTGATGACACTTATAGACGTAAACACGTAACCAGGGTTTATCTGCGATGACACTTACAGACGTAAACACGTAACCTGGGTTTATCTGTGATGACACTTATAGGCGTCCACACGTAACCAGAGTTTATCTGTGATGACACTTATAGACGTAAACACGTAACCAGGGTTTATCTGCGATGACACTTACCGACGTAAACACGTAACCTTGGTTTATCTGTGATGACACTTATGGGCGTCCACACGTAACCAGAGTCTATCTGTGATTACACTTATAGACGTAAACACGTAACCTGGGTTTATCTGTGATGACACTTATAGGCCTCCACACGTAACCAGAGTTTATCTGTGATGACACTTAGAGACGTAAACACGTAACCTGGGTTTACATGTGATGACACTTATAGACGTAAACAAGTGGCCAGGGTTTACCTGCGATGACACTTATAGACGTCAACACGTGGCCAGGGTTTACCTGCAATGACACTTATAGACGACAACACGTGGTCAGGGTTTACCTGCGATGACACTTATAGACGTCAACACGTGGTCAGGGTTTACCCTTAATTCATACTAATAAAGGTGAACACGTTGTCAAAGTTCAAAACAGACAAACAGATCAGTGTTCCGGCAGTGTAATGTGCTATTTCATGGTGAGGGAGGTGATAAGATACATGTCTGACGGGAATGACTCACAACCATGACAACAAGTGTAAAGCAGTGTAACATGATACGGTGATGCTGTTCCAGTGCTGCAGGAATACGTCAGTCGGCTTGGTGGTTGTTGCCATAGTTGGGTAGCGCCGCCAGTGCTGCAGAGTATACGTCAGTCGGCTTGGTGGTTGTTGCCATAGTTTGGTACCGCCGCCAGTGCTGCAGAGTATACGTCAGTCGGCTTTGTGGTTGTTGCCATAGTTGGGTAGCGCCGCCAGTGCTGCAGAGTATACGTCAGTCGGCTTGGTGGTTGTTGCCATAGTTGGGTACCGCCGCCAGTGCTGTAGAGTATACGTCAGTCGGCTTGGTGGTTGTTGCCATAGTTGGGTAGCGCCACCAGTGCTGCAGAGTATACGTCAGTCGGCTTGGTGGTTGTTGCCATAGTTGGGTAGCGCCGCCAGTGCTGCAGAGTATACGTCAGTCGGCTTGGTGGTTGTTGCCATAGTTGGGTAGCGCCGCCAGTGCTGCAGAGAATACGTCAGTCGGCTTGGTGGTTGTTGCCATAGTTTGGTACCGCCGCCAGTGCAGCAGGAGTATACGTCAGTCGGCTTGGTGGTTGTTGCCATAGTTGGGTAGCGCCACCAGTGCTGCAGAGTATACGTCAGTCGGCTTGGTGGTTGTTGCCATAGTTGGGTAGCGCCACCAGTGCTGCAGAGTATACGTCAGTCGGCTTGGTGGTTGTTGCCATAGTTTGGTAGCGCCACCAGTGCTGCAGAGTATACGTCAGTCGGCTTGGTGGTTGTTGCCATAGTTTGGTACCGCCGCCAGTGCTGAATCAGAGGTCTGGAATGTCTAGAATGCTGGTGCCAGCAGCGAGGGTTTACGAGGATGCATACCTCCTGGGAACCACTAGCTACGTCATTATTTGGGTACTCTGCTCGTTATGACTGTCTCAATCACTCAATCCTGAAACATGTAGTGAATGCTTTATGAAAACATGCAGGCATGATAATGCGTATTTTCCTTTGTAGGCCCGGCGGTTACCAAGCCGACATCTACCAGACCACGCCACTCATGTCTACATATCTCGTCGCGTTTGTAGTGTCGGATTTTGAACATATAAACGGAAATACCTCCCGTGGTTTACAGGTAAAACCTGCAATGTTAGATATGGATACCTACCACAAGAAAGCGAAAAACAGAGCACAAAATACATTCAGGTTTCACACCCGGCGTGTTTTATAACAAGAAATTTCATCTATCCAGTATTACCGTCTTCATGCATTTAAAACACTATTTATGCATACACATGGAAAACAGTGTTGCAAAACATCACATTTGTTGTGTTAGCAAGGTGACTGATCCAATCCTCAGTTTACTTACGATATGAACAAATGTACCCTCGAGGAATAATTCAATGGCACATCTGAACGCCAAAAACCCCAAGAGAAACCCCAAACCACTGTAGTGTATTTAGAGAAGCAAACATGGCAAACAATTGACTCCTTGTGTAAGTCTGGTAGCTATGGTAACTATGGTCGTGTGACGGTAACAAGGGTAGCTATGGTCGTGTGACGGTAACAAGGGTAGCTATGGTCGTGTGACGGTAACAAGGGTAGCTATGGTCGTGTGACGGTAACGAGGGTAGCTATGGTCGTGTGACGGTAACGAGGGTAGCTATGGTCGTGTGACGGTAACGAGGGTAGCTATGGTCGTGTGACGGTAACAAGGATAGCTATGGTCGTATGACGGTAACAAGGGTAGCTATGGTCGTGTGACGGTAACAAGGGTAGCTATGGTAACTATGGTCGTGTGACGGTAACGAGGGTAGCTATGGTCGTGTGACGGTAACAAGGGTAGCTATGGTCGTGTGACGGTAACAAGGGTAGCTATGGTCGTGTGACGGTAACAAGGGTAGCTATGGTCGTGTGACGGTAACAAGGGTAGCTATGGTCGTGTGACGGTAACGAGGGTAACTATGGTCGTGTGACGGTAACAAGGGTAGCTATGGTCGTGTGACGGTAACAAGGGTAGCTATGGTCGTGTGACGGTAACGAGGGTAGCTATGGTCGTGTGACGGTAACGAGGGTAGCTATGGTCGTGTGACGGTAACGAGGGTAGCTATGGTCTATGGTGCGGACGGTAACGAGGGTAGCTATGGTCGTGTGACGGTAACAAGGGTAGCTATGGTCGTGTGACGGTAACGAGGGTAGCTATGGTCGTGTGACGGTAACAAGGGTAAATATGGTCGTGTGACGGTAACAAGGGGGGTCAGTTTCAAGGTTCTGAGATTTTAGACATCCTACCGCCTCTTGAGGAAAGAATTCATCAACAGGACATGCTTGACGTGGAACAGCAAAGTCTGCCTTGAAGATGGTCAGCCTTGTGTTCTCCATGGTCTCAAATTCCAGTGACGTCGAGACTGACACGAAGTTCCTGGTGATGCTCAGGGACAACAACCGTTGTAGGCGATACGTCTGCTGCTTTGTGCTCTGGGACAACAACGGACGTCTGGCTGTATACTCGGCCCATTGTAGGTGATATCAGACCGTGCTGCTTTGTGCTCTGGGACAACAACGGACGTCTGGCTGTATACTCGGCCCATTGTAGGCGATATCAGACCGTGCTGCTTTGTGCTCTGGGACAATAACGGACGTCTGGCTGTATACTCGGCCCATTGTAGGCGATATCAGACCGTGCTGCTTTGTGCTCTGGGACAACAATGGACGTCTGGCTGTATACTCGGCCCATTGTAGGCGATATCAGACCGTGCTGCTTTGTGCTCTGGGACAACAACGGACGACTGGCTGTATACTCGGCCCATAGTAGGCGATATCAGAGCGTTCTACTGAACGTGGAATGCACTGTTTTTACGCGTCTCCTGACATGAACGGATGAAGCCTCGTGAGAATGAGAAGGGCTGTTGCCGGTGACGGCCCATAACGTAATTAGGTCGCTGGTGTTTTCTATCCAAGCAGCTGATAGTCGAGGGATGACAACCAACATATGAATATAGGCCTGACTGTCATGCCAGCATTCCGCATACCAATTATTTGCCATCTTCGAGTAGTCGGCAGTTGAGGAGGCCACAGATTCGCTTTAGAAACAACGCAATCAGTTGAATTTCCCAGCTATCGAGCTATAAGACCAGTTTACAGAAACTACATATGTGCTTAATGACGATACACATGCTGCACGTGCTGCTCGCCTTTGGTCGTAACACGTGCACGTCCTGGTGTGGAGCACCCGAAGGGTAAAAGTATTCATACCAACAAACATCATAATAATATGAATATAAATGGCAAAATGGGGTTTGAAAATCATAGGTGTCTGATGCTTTATGAAACACATATGCATTGTTATCGCTCTCGTCCTTTCTAGCATCATAAATATTATCAAAGTATTTCTTGAAATAAAATCAGCTATCACAGATAGTAAACCACATGTCTGACACATGAAACCAGATATCTGACGTCAAAAAACCATATGTCTGACACATGAAACGATATATCTCACGTCAGAAACCATATGTCTAGCACGGGACACCAGATATCTCACGTCAGCCATATGTCTGACACATGATATATCTCACATCAGAAACCACATGTCTAGCACGGGACACAGATATCTCACGTCAAAACCATATGTCTGACACATGAAACGATATATCTCACATCAGAAACCACATGTCTAGCACGGGACACCAGATATCTCACGTCAGAAACCATATGTCTGACAGAAAATACCAGATATCTCACATCAGAAACCATATGTCTGACACATGAAACGATATATCTCACATCAGAAACCACATGTCACGTCAGATATCTCAAGTCAGAAACCATATGTCTGACATGAATCCAGATATCCCACATCAGAAACCAGGTATCTCACATCAGATATCTCACAAGAAACCATATTCTGACACATGAATCCAGATATCCACATCAGAAACAAAATTTCTAACACATGAAACCAGATATCTCACATTAGAAACCATATGTCTGACACATGAAGGGAAATATCTCACGTTTGTGTTTTGTATTGAGCATGGTTTAGATACCAATATCGATAAAACTACGCTAATGGTCTTGAAGGAAGTTGGGACCTTATTAAGTAAATGTGGCCAGCTCTTCCCCAAAAACACGCTGGTAGGGGTGAGGACACTTTATCATCGTAGAGCAGTCAGATCGATACACATCATCCTGCAGCGTTTGAAAAATTATAAATGAACAGCAAAATCACCCATCTTATAAGAAATGTTCTATAATACAACAAATATTTATGAGATAATAATATTTTACAGGTTACATTCAGTAAGCTATGATAAACCATACCCATTTATGGAATAGAGTGTGGATATCTCCACCCTTCTGGAACATGTAACAACATAACCTTATCCCACTCCTTTATAACAGTGTCCTTTGGTACAGAGCTTTACATGACTTGAGTAACTCCAGGGTTGTTTAACTACAGGGTGGTTTAAATGTAGGGATGCTCTCGCCTTATTTTCAGTGGTTCTCACATCAGTTATGTATTGAGACCGGAATGTGTATCAACACTGAAAAGATACAAAGACTGTGTTGTGTCCACCACAAAAGGCTACCCCACCGCTATGTAAAGGCGACTACAGAGTATATTTACTATGTAATGTCTGTAAGCACAACACTAATTTGAATGTCATCATTTAATCGAATTATAACGTCTGTTTATGACATGTAAAAGCACGTATGTAGTTTTGAGCCGATGGCCTACACAAACAGAATAAGGAATTGTATATATCATGTCAGAAAACTGAAATCAGGTATCTTCAGTTAAAAATGCTATCTCACATCATAAACCATGCACAGATATATGTACATTCCTTTCACTACATGTTACCCTCCTGCTTGACAACGGTTCAAGACTGTGTATACCACTACATGTTACCCTCCTGCTTGACAACGGTTCAAGACTGTGTATCCCACTACATGTTACCTGCTTGACAACGGTTCAAGACTGTGTATCCCACTACATGTTACCTACTTGACAACGGTTCAAGACTGTGTATCCCACTACATGTTACCCTCCTGCTTGACAACGGTTCAAGACTGTGTATACCACTACATGTTACCCTCCTGCTTGACAACGGTTCAAGACTGTGTATACCACTACATGTTACCCTCCTGCTTGACAACGGTTCAAGACTGTGTATACCACTACATGTTACCTGCTTGACAACGGTTCAAGACTGTGTATACCACTACATGTTACCTGCTTGACAACGGTTCAAGACTGTGTATCCCACTACATGTTACCCTCCTGCTTGACAACGGTTCAAGACTGTGTATACCACTACATGTTACCCTCCTGCTTGACAACGGTTCAAGACTGTGTATCCCACTACATGTTACCTGCTTGACAACGGTTCAAGACTGTGTATACCACTACATGTTACCCTCCTGCTTGACAACGGTTCAAGACTGTGTATACCACTACATGTTACCCTCCTGCTTGACAACGGTTCAAGACTGTGTATACCACTACATGTTACCCTCCTGCTTGACAACGGTTCAAGACTGTGTATACCACTACATGTTACCTCCTGCTTGACAACGGTTCAAGACTGTGTATACCACTACATGTTACCCTCCTGCTTGACAACGGTTCAAGACTGTGTATCTCACTACATGTTATCTGCTTGACAACGGTTCAAGACTGTGTATACCACGACATGTTACCTGCTTGACAACGGTTCAAGACTGTGTATCCCACTACATGTTACCCTCCTGCTTGACAACGGTTCAAGACTGTGTATACCACTACATGTTACCCTCCTGCTTGACAACGGTTCAAGACTGTGTATACCACTACATGTTACCTGCTTGACAACGGTTCAAGACTGTGTATACCACTACATGTTACCCTCCTGCTTGACAACGGTTCAAGACTGTGTATCCCACTACATGTTACCCTCCTGCTTGACAACGGTTCAAGACTGTGTATCCCACTACATGTTACCCTCCTGCTTGACAACGGTTCAAGACTGTGTATCCCACTACATGTTACCCTCCTGCTTGACAACGGTTCAAGACTGTGTACATGTTACCTGCTTGACCACTGTGTATACCACTACATGTTACCTGCTTGACAACGGTTCAAGACTGTGTATCCCACTACATGTTACCCTCCTGCTTGACAACGGTTCAAGACTGTGTATCCCACTACATGTTACCCTCCTGCTTGACAACGGTTCAAGACTGTGTATCCCACTACATGTTACCCTCCTGCTTGACAACGGTTCAAGACTGTGTATCCCACTACATGTTACCCTCCTGCTTGACAACGGTTCAAGACTGTGTATACCACTACATGTTACCTGCTTGACAACGGTTCAAGACTGTGTATCCCACTACATGTTACCCTCCTGCTTGACAACGGTTCAAGACTGTGTATACCACTACATGTTACCCTCCTGCTTGACAAACACAACATAAAGGAAGTTGTTATCCATAAAGTTTGTCATATTGTACTTCTCAGCTTCAACAATGACCACTCAAAGAAGTAACTTACTATCTGTTTCAGTATCGTGTATGGGCGAGGAAGAACGTCCTGACTCAGCTGGATTACGCTCTGGATGTGGGGACAAAGGTCATCTCGCACTACGAGACATACTTCAACCACACGTTCCCCCCCTGCCTAAACAAGGTATGACACAATCCCCTTACCTAAACAAGGTATGACAAATCCCCTTATCTAAACAAGGTATGACAAAATCATTAACCTTAACACGCTTTGACACAATCATTACCAAAACAAGGTATGACGCAATCATTACCTAAACAAGGTATGACTTAACAAGGTTAACTAAACAAGGAATGACACAATGATTCCCCTAAACAAGGTACAACACAATCATTACCTAAACAAGGTATGACACAATCTTTACCTAAACAAGGTATGACACAATCATTACCTAAACAAGGTATGACACAATCATTTACCTAAACGAGGTACAACACAATCTTTACCTAAACGAGGTATAACACAATCTTTACCTAAAAGGTATAACCCAATCCCTTTACGAGGGTACAACACAATCTTTACCTAAACGAGGTATAACACAATCTTTACCTAAACAAGGTATGACTCAGTCCCTAACCAATCAAGCTATGACACAAATTTTACCAAAACATGCTATGACACAATCTTTACCTAAACGAGGTATGACTCAATCGCCTAACCTAAACAATCTATGACGCAATCGTTACCTAAACAAGGTATGATAAATCTTTACATAAACAAGATATGACGCAATCCCGTGCCTAAACAAGGTCTGACACATTACCTTAACCATGAAATCATATAATCCACCTACCTAAAAAGGCATAGCTCCTTTTAAATAAACAAGGAATCACACATAACCCTAATCTAAACAGGTATGATACAACCCCTTTATCTAAACAAGTCATCACATATCCTATGTGCCTAAACAATTCATCATATATTCCACTGAACCTAAACAAATAATCGTATATTCCCCAGTACGTAAACAATTCATCATATATTTCCCTGTGTACCTAAATAATTCATAAAATATTCCCCTGTACCTAAACAACTCATCATATGCTCCCCTGTACCTAAACAACTCATCATATATTCCCCTGTACCTAAACAATTCATCCTATATCCCCTGTACCTAAACAATTCATCCTACATCCCCTGTACCTGAATAATTCATCATATTTTTCCCATGTACCTAAGCTAGGCATCACATATACCCTGTACCTAAACATAGCATCACGTCCCCAAGTGCCTAACAAATCATCACATATTCCCCTGTACCTAAACAATTCATCATATATTCCCCTATGCCTAAACAATTCATCATATATTCCCAGTTCCTAAATAATTCATCATATATTGCCCTGTACCTAAACAATTCATAAAATATCCCCTGTACCTAAATGATTCATCATATACTATCCAAAACAGAAACGCATAGGCCAGAAATCTGTTGCGAAAATGTTGTATTTTCAAACATGTATAACTCGTCTACAAGTAGATTTCAGGGAATGAATTTTAGCATCAGTTCAGAAGAAGGTACTGTATGTACAACCAAGTCGATACTTTTAGATAAAGGAGACACTGAGCGCGATGGTGACCACGTAGCATGGTCCCACGTCGGGTCTCCTGGCTCTTAGTCCAATCTCTCAACCTGTTCCGTACATTTTGACCGGATATCCTCTGAAGTCCAGGCACCCTGGCTGCTGTGCTCTCACCCGTGGCAGTACGATCAACTTTTGTCTATGGTGAAATGGGCGTACTGCCATTGATTACTATTACATTGGTACGCATTGTGAAATATTGGATTAAGATTATCACCAGTGACGGAAACCGATATATAAGCATTATATATAGAGGCAAATGTTGGCAATCGCTTTTGAAAGTATGTATGATGTATTTGTCATGTTGGCCGTTGGCCTATTAAAGAAATAAACAAACAAACATATGAAGTACCCGGATGTACCGATCTGTACGAGGACGGTCATTTGTTATACCTGTTTGGTTGTAACGAGCTGCAAGCCGTAATATTGTGCTCAGACTAACATTCAGACGCCTGGCAACAGAAGATTGGTAATCTCCAGCGTGCATTCTTTCAATGGCGATGTTCCGTGTCGCAGCGTCAAGACGTAGCGTATGTAGTCATTTGACCTTGAAACTCATTCAAAACGTATCAACACTTTTGTTTCATATTTTGACGATTGTTTGAACACAATAGGTAATTAATAGATATTAGAAAATACAAATCGCCTATTCGTTTCTTTTTTGGGATAGTATATATTCCTAAACCTAAACATCACATATCCCCTGAAACGATTTTGAAAGGACTGAAACAATAGCCAGGAATGGTGCAAGGTCTCTGGTTCATGTTGTTGTGTTGAAGCTAGATCACAGACGATGGACAGTTTGCCTTGATGCGTGTTCCAGACATGATCGCGATCCCCGACTTTGCAATGGGCGCCATGGAAAACTGGGGGATGATCACGTACCGTGAAAGTCTGCTGCTGTCACCAACAACTATGCTAAACAACAGGTCTTGGTGGCAATTGCCCATGAACTGGCACATCAGGTATAGAAGATGTCGCCAGGTGAACACTTGATTACTTACTGTTCATTTTGTTCCAGGTAAACACTTGATTACTTACTGTTAATTTTGTCCCAGGTAAACTGCTGTTGATTTATATATATCTGTCAAGAAATGTTGCTTTCGCCAGGTATAAACTCAGTTGATGATGCTCATTTAGATGTGGGTGTCAGTCGTCTAACACTGGTCCACCTGCAGGTGGTGGTAGTGGTCCATGGACCATCACAAGGAGGACAGTAACACTGGTCCACCTGCAGGTGGTGGTAGTGGACCATGGACCATCACAAGGAGGACAGTAACACTGGTCCCCCTAAGGAGGACAGTAACACTTGTCCACCTGCAGGTGGTGGTAGTGGTCCATGGACCATCATAAAGAGGACAGTAACACTGGTCCCCTGCAGGTGGTGGTAGTGGTCCATGGACCATCACAAGGAGGACAGTAACACTGGTTCCCCTAAGGAGGACAGTAACACTGGTCCACCTGCAGGTGGTGGTAGTGGTCCATAGACCATCACAAGGAGGACAGTAACACTGGTCCACCTGCAGGTGGTGGTAGTGGTACATTGACCATCACAAGGAGGACAGTAACACTGGTCCACCTGCAGGTGGTGGTAGTGGTCCATGGACCATCACAAGGAGGACAGTAACACTGGTCCACCTGCAGATGGTGGTAGTGGTCCTTGGACCATCACAAGGAGGATAGTAACACTGGTCCACCTACAGGTGGTGGTAGTAGACCATGAACCAGCACAAGGAGGACAGTAACACTGGTCCACCTGCAGGTGGTGGTAGCGGTCCATGGACCAACACAAGGAAGACAGTAACACTGGTCCACCTGCAGGTGGTGGTAGTAGACCATGAACCATCACAAGGAGGACAGTAACACTGGTCCACCTGCAGGTGGTGGTAGTGGATCATGGACCATCACAAGGAGGACAGTAACACTGGTCCACCTGCAGGTGGTGGTAGTGGTCGATGAACCATCACAAGGAGGACAGTAACACTGGTCCACCTGCAGATGGTGGTAGCGGTCCATGGACCATCACAAGTAGGACAGTAACACTGGTCCACCTACAGGTGGTGGTAGTATACCATGGACCATCACAAGGAGGGGACAGTAACACTGGTCCACCTGCAGGTGGTGGTAGTGGACCATGGACCATCACAAGGAGGACAGTAACACTGGTCCACCTGCAGGTTGTGGTAGTGGACCATGGACCATCACAAGGAGGACAGTAACACTGGTCCACCTGCAGGTGGTGGTAGTGGTCGATGGACCATCACATGGAGGACAGTAACACTGGTCCCCCTGCAGATGGTGGTAGTAGACCATGGACCATCATAAGGAAGACAGTAACACTGGTCCACCTGCAGGTGGTGGTAGTGGTCCATGGACCATCACGAGGAGGACAGTAACACTGGTCCACCTGCAGGTGGTGGTAGTGGTCCATGGACCATCACGAGGAGGACAGTAACACTGGTCCACCTGCAGGTGGTGGTAGTGGTCGATGGACCATCACGAGGAGGACAGTAACACTGGTCCACCTGCAGGTGGTGGTAGTGGACCATGGACCATCACAAGGAGGACAGTAACACTGGTCCACCTGCAGGTGGTGGTAGTGGTCCATGGACCATCACAAGGAGGACAGTAACACTGGTCCACCTGCAGGTGGTGGTAGTGGTCCATGGACCATCACAAGGAGGACAGTAACACTGGTCCACCTGCAGGTGGTGGTAGTGGTCCATGGACCATCACGAGGAGGACAGTAACACTGGTCCACCTGCAGGTGGTGGTAGTGGACCATGGACCATCACAAAGCCGACTGTTATCCTCACATAAACACGTCGCTTTTAAATTATGGGTAAACCTGAGTATTATTATTGCTGTTGGTACGTTCAGCAATGTGTTAAATACACGGGTTTACATCTCTCGATGGGAGCATCGAAGGGAGCACCTGCCTGAGTATTATTATTGCTGTTGGTACGTTCAGCAATGTGTTGAGCCACGGGTTCACATCTCTCGCTGGGAGCATTGAAGGGAGCACCTGCCTGAGTATTATTATTGCTGTTGGTACGTTCAGCAATGTGTTGAGCCACGGGTTCACATCTCTCGCTGGGAGCATCGAATGGAGCACCTGCCTGAGTATTATTATTGCTGTTGGTACGTTCAGCAATGTGTTAAGCCACGGGTTCACATCTCTCGCTGGGAGTATTGAAGGGAGCACCTGCCTGAGTATTATTATTGCTGTTGGTACGTTCAGCAATGTGTTTAGCCACGGGTTCACATCTCTCGCTGGGAGTATTGAAGGGAGCACCTGCCTGAGTATTATTATTGCTATTGGTACGTTCAGCAATGTGTTGAGCCATGGGTTCGGGAAGCACCTGTCTGAAATTGCTGGAATATTGCCAAAGGTGGCGTATAACTGTATTCACTCTCTTTCAGTGGTTTGCTAAAGGTTGCGTATAACTGTATTCATTCTCCTTCAGTGGTTCGGGAACCTGGTGACACCGAAATGGTGGGACGACTTATGGCTCAATGAGGGTTCGCCACATTTGTGGAATATATGGGATCGGATCTAGTAGAGCCACAATTTAAGATGGTAAGTAGTAAGTTGTTTGGAGGTTGTTAACGCCGCGTTCTGCAATATTCAAGCAATATGGCGGCAGTTTGTAAACAATCGAGCCAATTCAGTGATGTAACCACTGGCGGTAGAACAGTCTGTGAAATAGGCACCTCTCAGTTCATATTTACAGAACTGTTCAATACTGAAACAGTCACTAACATCAATGGTGAACATCCACCTTGAACAATCAGGTTTAACCATATCATCAATCTTCCAGTGACTGTTCCGTTTATTTCATTCTGTACACAACACGACTTATGTGATTTGATGACCTCCGAGACGGGTGTGAGGCTTTTGTGGTTTGAGGTTGGATGACGTCATTATGGCATGCTACTTTTCAGTTTGAGCAGTTCGTGGTGCAAGAGATGTTTCCTCTATTTACTGAAGACGGCTTAGTGACGTCACACCCGGTCTATGTTGATGTGAAAACTGTCGACGAAATCAACGAAATATTTGACGACATTTCCTATAACAAGGTTTGGGTATTAGCGTCTCTAAAGGCGTTTTATGTGAACTGCTCTCCAGCTTATAACTGTGCAGTAAGGAATGAATGGTAGCACTCTGTCACTACCATATTTACTTCACGATTAGGAAAGGCAAGGCTTAATGTCACTGTCAAGATTATTGCACGAAAGCAGGTATGTGTATGTGTGTGTGTGTGCGTGCGCGCGTTTGTGTGTATGTGTCAAGCATTTTATGGATAGACGACTTCTTCATTGCAATAGCAATAGATGGGACGTTTCGGTGAAGACCGTTAGATGGCACGTGATTAAGTGCTGAAATATTGTTCATCCGTAAAAACGTTTTCATCTTTCTTGATAATGATGGTGAGGATGTGGAGAATTTATGTGAGCTTTCAACCGTACTGAATGAACCAGGCAATTCCATGTTTCATCGTAAGAGATGGGTTTGTAGCAGAGCCATGTGGCAACCTGATGGGGGCGTTAGGGCTGTACAATTAAACTTATATGAATTTGTAAATTTGGAAATTTGCAAGAAGTGAGTAGAGAAATAATTGTCCTTGTTTGTTTCGTATTCTATATAACGAGCTGTATGACGGAACTATGTATATTATCAAGTCTGGGCCAGACGATCCAGTGATTGTCATCATTGCAAACATTGTGTTTGTATCTAGCCATGGCTTATGTATGTGATGAGTGTGATACTGTCGTGTATTACACGTTCCACAACACTGACGGCGACATTGTCTTTGTGTCTAGAACCGTAGCCATGGCCGATATATCTACCCCGGTATTCATTAACCGCAGCATAGCAGAATAATATCATAACGTTATTAGACAGAGTGAGTGAGTGAGATTAGCAGCAGCATAATACTATAAGCTTATCAGACTGGTGAGTGAGTGAGTTTAGCAGCATAATACCATAACGTTATTAGACAGAGTGAGTTTAGCAGCATAATATATCATAACCTCATCAGGCAGAGTGGAGTGAGTGGAGTTAAGGCAGAGTGAGTGAGTGACGTTATCAGCAGCAGCATGATGCCATAACGTTATCAGACAGAGTGAGTGAGTGAGTGATTTTAGCAGAATAATACCATAACGTTATCAGACAGTGAGTGAGGTGAGTGATTAGCAGCAGCATAATACCATAACGTTATCAGACAGAGTGAGTGAGTGAGATTAGCAGCATAATACCATAACGTTATCAGACAGAGTGAGTGAGTAAGTTTAGCAGCATAATACCATAACGTTATTAGACAGAGTGAGTTATCAGACAAAGAGTGAGTGAGCTTTAGCAGCATAATACCATAACGTTATTAGACACAGTTATTAGACAGAGAGTGAGATAAGCAGCAGCATAATACCATAAGCTTATCAGACAGAGTGAGTGAGTGAGTGAGTGATTTTAGCAGCATAATACCATAACGTTATTAGACAAAGTGAGTGAGTTTAGCAGCATAATATATCATAGCCTCATCAGACAGAGTGAATGAGTGAGGTTAGCAGCAGCATGATATCATAACGTTATCAGACAGAGTAAGAGTGAGTGAGTTTAGCAGCATAATACCAAAACGTTATTAGACAGAGTGAGTGATGAATTTAGCAGCATAATACCATAACGTTATTAAACAGAGTGAGTGAGTGAGTTTAGCAGCATAATACCATAACGTTATAAGACAGAGTGAGTGATGAATTTAGCAGCATAATACCATAACGTTATTAAACAGAGTGAGTGAGTGAGTTTCGCAGCATAATACCATAACGTTATAAGACAGAGTGAAATGAGTGAGTGAGTTTAGCAGCAGCATGATACCATAACGTTATCAGAGTGAGTGAGTGAGTTTAGCAGCAAAATACCATAACGTTACAAGACAGAGTGAGTGACAGATATTAGCAGCATCATAATACCATAACCTTATGAGACAAAGTGGTGGAGTGAATTAAGCGGCATAATATCATGGCGTTATTAGACAAAGTGGTGATTGATTTGAATGAGTTAAGCGGCAGCATAATACCATAACGTTATCAGACAGAGTGAGTGGAGTGAATCAATTTAGCAGCAGCATGATACAATAACGTTAATAGACAGAGTGAGTGAGTGAGATTAGCAGCATCATAATACCATAATTTTATGAGACAGAGTAAGTGAGTTAGTTTAGCAGCATAATACCATAACCCTATCAGAAAGATTGGTGAGTGAGTTTAGCAGCAGCATGATACCATAAAGTTATCAGACAGAGTACGTGAGTGAGTGATTTTAGCAGAATAATAGCATAACGTTATTTTGCAAATGAGTGAGTGAGTTAAGCAGCATAATGCCATAACGTTACTAGACAGTGGGTGAGTGATTGATTGAGTTTATCAGCATAATACCATAACGTTATTAGACAGAGTGAGTGAGTGAATGAGTTTAGCAGAAGCACAATGCCATAACGTTATTAGACAGAGTGAATGAGCGAATGAGTTGAGCAGCAGCATAATACCATAACGTTATTAGACAGAGTGAGTGAGTGAGGATTAACAGCATCATAATACCATAACCTTATCAGACAGATTGAGTGGAGTTTAACAGCATAATACTATAAGGTTATTAGACAGAGTGAGTGAGTTTTGCAGCATAATATCGTAACGTTATCAGATAGAGTGAGTGAGTGAGTTTAGCAGCAGCATGATACCATAACGTTATCAGACAGAGGGAGTGAGTGAGTGAGTTTAGCAGCATAATACTATAACGTTATTAGACAGAGTGAGTGAGTGAGATTAGCAGCAGCATAATACCATAACCTTTTCAGACAGGGGTGAGTGAGTAAGTTTAACAGCATAATACTATAAGGTTATTAGACAGAGTGAGTGAGTTTTGCAGCATAATATCGTAACGTTATCAGATAGAGTGAGTGAGTGAGTTTAGCAGCAGCATATTACCATAACGTTATAAGACAGAGTGAGTGAGTGAACGAGTATAGGAGCACAACATAATATCATAACGTTATTAGACATAGTGAGTTGGTGAGTTTAGCAGCAGGATACCCTAATGTTATCAGATAACTTGATTTGTACCTTCAATCTGCCATTTACAGGTGATGATTCTGCACTCAATGACCGTTTCGATAGAGTGAGCTAGTTAAAGGTCGATTTTGTAGCCATGTGGGGACCATTTCACATTTTATTTAATTTCAGGGAGGGACTGTGATAAGAATGCTGAGGGTTTTCATCGGTGAAGATACTTTCCCAGAAAGGTTTATCCGTAAGTAACATGTGTCTAGTAACAGGGTACTTTAGTGTGGATGTATACTTCTATTGTAGTTGTTGTGATCCATAGTTAGCAGTTCCATCAATCTCAGAAGTTTCAGTCATCCTTCCCCACCCTTTACAATAGTCTACAATAGCCCACATTGTTTCTGTTGGTATAAAGTTTCGGTTTTGTCTGAGTCATAACATCTAGGCCTTGTGTGGCATGGGTGCCACAGATGTCTATATACCAGTAACATCTAGGTAGTGTGTGGTATGGGTGCCACAGATGTCTGTATACCAGTAACATCTAGGTAGTGTGTGGTATGGGTGCCACAGATGTCAGTATACCAGTAACATCTAGGAATTGTAGTGTGGTATGGGTGCCACCAGTATGTCTGTATACACAGATAGTAACATCTAGGTAGTGTGTGGTATGGGTGCCACAGATGTCTGTATACCAGTAACATCTAGGTAGTGTGTGGTATGGGTGCCACAGATGTCTGTATACCAGTAACATCTAGGTAGTGTGTGGTATGGGTGCCACAGATGTCTGTATACCAGTAACATCTAGGTAGTGTGTGGTATGGGTGCCACAGATGTCTGTATACCAGTAACATCTAGGTAGTGTGTGGTATGGGTGCCACAGATGTCTGTATACCAGTAACATCTAGGTAGTGTGGGTATGGGTGCCACAGATGTCTGTATACCAGTAACATCTAGGTGGTGTGTGGTATGGGTGCCACAGATGTCTGTATACCAGTAACATCTAGGTAGTGTGTGGTATGGGTGCCACAGATGTCTGTATACCAGTAACATCTAGGTAGTGTGTGGTATGGTATTGGTATGGGTGCCACAGATGTCTGTATACCAGTAACATCTAGGGTAGTGTGTGGTATGGGTGCGACAGATGTCTGTATACCAGTAACATCTAGGTAGTGTGTGGTATGGGTGCCACAGATGTCTGTATACCAGTAACATCTAGGTAGTGTGTGGTATGGGTGCCACAGATGTCTGTATACCAGTAACATCTAGGTAGTGTGTGGTATGGGTGCCACAGATGTCAGTATACCAGTAACATCTAGGTAGTGTGTGGGTATGGGTGCCACAGATGTCTGTATACCAGTAACATCTAGGTAGTGTGTGGTATGGGTGCCACAGATGTCTGTATACCAGTAACATCTAGGTAGTGTGTGGTATGGGTGCCACAGATGTCAGTATACCAGTAACATCTAGGTAGTGTGTGTGGTATGGGTGCCACAGATGTCTGTATACCAGTAACATCTAGGTAGTGTGTGGTATGGGTGCCACAGATGTCTGTATACCAGTAACATCTAGGTAGTGTGTGGTATGGGTGCCACAGATGTCTGTATACCAGTAACATCTAGGTAGTGTGTGGTATGGGTGCCACAGATGTCTGTATACCAGTAACATCTAGGTAGTGTGTGGTATGGGTGCCACAGATGTCTGTATACCAGTAACATCTAGGTAGTGTGTGGTATGGGTGCCACACAGATGTCTGTATACCAGTAACATCTAGGTAGTGTGTGGTATGGGTGCCACAGATGTCTGTATACCAGTAACATCTAGGTAGTGTGTGGTATGGGTGCCACAGATGTCTGTATACCAGTAACATCTAGGTAGTGTGTGGTATGGGTGCCACAGATGTCTGTATACCAGTAACATCTAGGTGATAGTGTGTGGTATGGGTGCCACAGATGTCTGTATACCAGTAACATCTAGGTAGTGTGTGGTATGGGTGCCACAGATGTCTGTATACCAGTAACATCTAGGTAGTGTGTGGTATGGGTGCCACAGATGTCTCTGTATACCAGTAACATCTAGGTAGTGTGTGGTATGGGTGCCACAGATGTCTGTATACCAGTAACATCTAGGCAGTGTGTGGTATGGGTGCCACAGATGTCTGTATACCAGTAACATCTAGGTAGTGTGTGGTATGGGTGCCACAGATGTCAGTATACCAGTAACATCTAGGTAGTGTGTGGTATGGGTGCCACAGATGTCTGTATACCAGTAACATCTAGGTAGTGTGTGGTATGGGTGCCACAGATGTCTGTATACCAGTAACATCTAGGTAGTGTGTGGTATGGGTGCCACAGATGTCTGTATACCAGTAACATCTAGGTAGTGTGTGGGTATGGGTGCCACAGATGTCTGTATACCAGTAACATCTAGGTAGTGTGTGGTATGGGTGCCACAGATGTCTGTATACCAGTAACATCTAGGTAGTGTGTGGTATGGGTGCCACAGATGTCTGTATACCAGTAACATCTAGGTAGTGTGTGGTATGGGTGCCACAGATGTCTGTATACCAGTAACATCTAGGTAGTGTGTGGTATGGGTGCCACAGATGTCAGTATACCAGTAACATCTAGGTAGTGTGTGGTATGGGTGCCACAGATGTCTGTATACCAGTAACATCTAGGTAGTGTGTGGTATGGGTGCCACAGATGTCTGTATACCAGTAACATCTAGGTAGTATGTGGTATGGGTGCCACAGATGTCTGTATACCAGTAACATCTAGGTAGTGTGTAGTATAGGTGCCACAGATGTCTGTATACCAGTAACATCTAGGTAGTGTGTGGTATGGGTGCCACAGATGTCTGTATACCAGTAACATCTAGGTAGTATGTGTGGTATGGGTTGCCACAGATGTCAGTATACCAGTAACATCTAGGTAGTGTGTGGTATGGGTGCCACATATGTCTGTATACCAGTAACATCTAGGTAGTGTGTGGTATGGGTGGGTGCCACAGATGTCTGTATACCAGTAACATCTAGGTAGTGTGTGGTATGGGTGCCACAGATGTCTGTATACCAGTAACATCTAGGTAGTGTGTGGTATGGGTGCCACAGATGTCTGTATACCAGTAACATCTAGGTAGTGTGTGGTATGGGTGCCACAGATGTCTGTATACCAGTAACATCTAGGTAGTGTGTGGTATGGGTGCCACAGATGTCTGTATACCAGTAACATCTAGGTAGTGTGTGGTATGGGTGCCACAGATGTCTGTATACCAGTAACATCTAGGTAGTGTGTGGTATGGGTGCCACAGATGTCTGTATACCAGTAACATCTAGGTAGTGTGTGGTATGGGTGCCACAGATGTCTGTATACCAGTAACATCTATGTAGTGTGTGGTATGGGTGCCACAGATGTCTGTATACCAGTAACATCTAGGTAGTGTGTGGTATGGGTGCCACAGATGTCTGTATACCAGTAGCATCTATGTAGTGTGTGGTATGGGTGCCACAGATGTCTGTATACCAGTAACATCTAGGTAGTGTGTGGTATGGGTGCCACAGATGTCTGTATACCAGTAACATCTAGGTAGTGTGTGGTATGGGTGCCACAGATGTCTGTATACCAGTAACATCTAGGTAGTGTGTGGTATGGGTGCCACAGATGTCTGTATACCAGTAACATCTAGGTAGTGTGTGGTATGGGTGCCACAGATGTCTGTATACCAGTAACATCTAGGTAGTGTGTGGTATGGGTGCCACAGATGTCTGTATACCAGTAACATCTAGGTAGTGTGTGGTATGGGTGCCACAGATGTCTGTATACCAGTAACATCTAGGTAGTGTGTGGTATGGGTGCCACAGATGTCTGTATACCAGTAACATCTAGGTAGTGTGTGTGGTATGGTTGCCACACATGTCTGTATACCAGTAACATCTCGGTAGTGTGTGGTATGGGTGCCACAGATGTCAGTATACCAGTAACATCTAGGTAGTGTGTGGTATGGGTGCCACAGATGTCAGTATACCAGTAACATCTAGGTAGTGTGTGGTATGGGTGCCACAGATGTCTGTATACCAGTAACATCTAGGTAGTGTGTGGTATGGGTGCCACAGATGTCTGCATACCAGTAACATCTAGGTGTGTGTGTGGTATGGGTGCCACAGATGTCTGTATACCAGTAACATCTAGGTGGTGTGTGGTATGGGTGCCACAGATGTCTGTATACCAGTAACATCTAGGTAGTGTGTGGTATGGGTTGCCACAGATGTCTGTATACCAGTAACATCTAGGTGGTGTGTGTGGTATGGGTGCCACAGATGTCTGTATACCAGTAACATCTAGGTAGTGTGTGGTATGGGTGCCACAGATGTCAGTATACCAGTAACATCTAGGTAGTGTGTGGTATGGGTGCCACAGATGTCTGTATACCAGTAACATCTAGGTAGTGTGTGGTATGGGTGCCACAGATGTCTGTATACCAGTAACATCTAGGTAGTGTGTGGTATGGGTGCCACAGATGTCTGTATACCAGTAACATCTAGGTAGTGTGTGGTATGGGTGCCACAGATGTCTGTATACCAGTAACATCTAGGTAGTGTGTGGTATGGGTGCCACAGATGTCTGTATACCAGTAACATCTAGGTAGTGTGTGGTATGGGTGCCACAGATGTCAGTATACCAGTAACATCTAGGTAGTGTGTGGTATGGGTGCCACAGATGTCTGTATACCAGTAACATCTAGGTAGTATGTGGTATGGGTGCCACAGATGTCTGTATACCAGTAACATCTAGGTAGTATGTGGTATGGGTGCCACAGATGTCAGTATACCAGTAACATCTAGGTAGTGTGTGGTATGGGTGCCACAGATGTCTGTATACCAGTAACATCTAGGTAGTGTGTGGTATGGGTGCCACAGATGTCTGTATACCAGTAACATCTAGGTAGTGTGTGGTATGGGTGCCACAGATGTCAGTATACCAGTAACATCTAGGTAGTGTGTGGTATGGGTGTCTGCCACAGATGTCCAGTATACCAGTAACATCTAGGTAGTGTGTGGTATGGGTGCCACAGATGTCTGTATACCAGTAACATCTAGGTAGGTGTGTGGTATGGGTGCCACAGATGTCTGTATACCAGTAACATCTAGGTAGTGTATGTGGTATGGGTGCCACAGATGTCTGTATACCAGTAACATCTAGGTAGTGTGTGGTATGGGTGCCACAGATGTCTGTATACCAGTAACATCTAGGTA